ACAATCAGGTTTTTCTTACGTTTTCGTACTACATGACACACCAAGATGTTATAACAGGCAATGATTATCACACAAATTACCATCAAAGTACTTTCAATGGTAATCCATATTTCGACGATCTCCATATCTACCTTCGTTTCCATCAGAATAGTAGCGGGAAGGTCTGTAAACACGGTTAGCAGCCAAACAAATATCGAGAGTTTTATGAGAAGGCTCTTTGAAACGAGTACCTGATATTGAAGGCCTTTCCGTATCGCTACGTTTCTCTCCCATGCAATGACAGTCAAATGATACAGAGACAACACGGAAAGGAAATAAATAACGGAGATATTAGCCAAGTCTAAATCACAAATATGTTCAACGGGCATCTGGCGGAGAATTAGCACGTCCACCGTCGCAGATAACGGCATCGATACAGCGCCAACGAGAAGATCTACAAGGGCGAGGCTCCTGAGCAGAATATTGGACAATTTTTGCAGGTCTCTCCGTTTTACAACCGTTACGATCACTAACAGATTCATAAGAATTGTAACGGGAGAGAGAAGTATTATGCTTCCTACTATAATCCAAGGGAAGGTAGTATTTTCTAAGTCCCAAGTGAAAACTTCATATTGCGAGCAAAAGAACACTGACCTATTGGTGGGGAAATGGTTGTTTGCTGTTTCTCCATGGTTTGGTTCCATCCTAAGGCCTGTTTGGTGACTTTAACGCTTATCGGGTCTTTGATGGTCGCTCAGTGAGAAGCTCCCGAGAAATGACAGCAAGCGTAGTGAAGATTGTCATAAATACGGCAATCTTTTGATCACCATTACATTTTTCTTAAGCCGCTTGTTGTCACCCCATCTGTGCAGAAGGATTTTTCTCACACGGAAGACAGATATGTGAAGTGCAGAGATTACTGGTCATGAACACCGTCGTTCTTGGGTTGGGTGCTTTCAGTTAATAGAAACAGCCAGATAGTGGACTAATAAAAAAACTACTGTTAATGGTTAACAACTCTTCACCGCAGTGAAAGTGGCTAGTGGTGGATATTTACCGAGCTGCGAAACGGTGAGGTGAATATCTACCGCCACCGACACTGAAGTACATAGTTGTTTTAGATATAATAAAACGATGAAATAACATAGCTCGAAAAGATAATTTTATATCATATATTGCTACAACGATTACAATGTTTTTGGCGTTAATCCCTTGGGAGTTGCTCGGAAGTGAATATCAATAGATATTGGGAGTTTGAGCAGCCAAGCAGAGCACGCCTTGAACACTGTCTGCTGTTTTAGTATATACGAATTGTTATTTTTTAAAATTATTTTTTTTAATCTTTTGGCTTCTCTTCTCCGCCCTAATAATTCTTTCTGCAGGTTTTCGCATTTTCGAATATCTGGCTTGATAAAGACTGCAAAACGCGCATAAGGCATTTTGGTAACATACTGCTCTAGATGCTGTCAAAAAACACAAAATGAGAAACGTATTTGAAAGCTTCACCCATTTCTCGCTGTTTGAATTTCAAATATAAAATGAAAGTGATGAACTTATTGCATTATACAGAAAACACTATAGATACCAGACAGATAGAATTTAATTTTGTGAACTATCAAGGAACAATACATGCATTGTTTTACGTCTGCGAGGTTTTGCAGGGAATTCAACGGAAATCAGAGTTTGGCCATGGGTTCTCTGTCGTTTTCACCAATTTAGGCGCGTGCTTGTTTACTTTTACGCTTGCAGTGTCTTTACGTGATGTTCGATTAGTTTTAAACTCCTGAAGATATAGGGGCAAGATTCGTGAAGATTCTCTTAATACCGCAATCTTGGATCACCTGTGCAGGTTTCTAAACCGCCTGTATTGGCCCATTTGTGGGAACGGCTTTTTTCACACGAAAGATACGTTTGTGCAATTCAAAGATTACCAAACTGTTAATGATCCCGTTAAACTTAACTTTCATTAAAGGTATCAACTGACAGACTTTAAGAAAGAACAATACATGCATTATTTTTTGTCGCAAAGTTTTGCTCGGAATTAAACGGAAATAAGATTTTGGCGATGGGTTCTCTGTCGTTTTCACCAACTAAGGCTCGTGCTAGTTTAATTTCACGCTTTCAGTGTCTTTGCGTGATGATAGATTAGAGACAAACCCCAAAAGATATCAGAGCAAGCCTCGTAAAAAGATTCTCTCAAATGCAGCAAGCTGAGGCCACCTTTAGAGGTAATTTTTGGTTATATTCTCATCAACGCAACAATCGTTATTACTTAAACCGCCTGTTGTTGAGACATCTGTTAAGATGACTTTTTCTCTCACTGGTGAAGAAACATACGCGTGTGATCTATTTCAGTTTGGTAGATAATTATTTACCGGAAAAAACGAAAGAACACTAGGCTCAAAACACAGAATTGCCTAAGTAATTAAAGAGGTATTAGTAAAATAATCAATTTTGGAGCCAAGAAGTAAGTTGGGAGTGTAAATGAGGAACACATCTTTGTACACGAGTACACTGCTGCTAAATTATTCTCCTCATTAGATTATTATATATCTGTGACTATATAACTAGATACCTGGGGAAACCTACCGAAATGCTGAAGCTAAAGTGGCACGGGGAAGGGAGGGAGGGGGGGGGGGGGCTGCTAAACTGTTTTCTTCTTTAGATTATTATTTACCTGTGGCATTGTGTAATAAATAACTTATATAACTAGATACCCGGGGAAACCTACCCGTTAAATCTTTTGAGAGTTCGCTTCATTGAAAAGAAACTAAACAAATCTTTTGTGAGTTCGCTTTAGTGAAAAAAAACTGAACTTCAAAATGCTGAAACAGCTTGACTTATTGGACTTTGCAAAAATAAAATTCAAGACACCAGATCATGTTTAAATATATTTTATTTAAAACATTCAATTCACGACATCATAACCGATCAGTGCCCAACATTATCCAGTATGCGTCTTCCAGAGCCTTTGGTCAACTTCGTGGCCGAGTAATCATTGACTACCGTAAGATATCTGTTGACACGTTAAAGACAAAGGAAGAAAAAAACAGCAATACAGAGGCAGTCGCATTTCTTTCGCTTTTAGTGCTGTAACATTTTAAATGTTATTACACTTCATTTTCCAAATCAAAAAACGACAACAGATACCTTGCTCTAAATCTTGTTCAACCAAGAAATAAATTCGAATTTAAAACATCTACAACATAAGCTAACATGATGCAAGTGGTTGCTTCTCGTCATGAAAAAAAGTTACATGATTCAACTCCCATTACAAAGCATAGACGCTCTCGAGACGCAAGCAGCAATAGGAAATAGAATGCAATTACTTTTGGCGCCCTTCGATATCTTCTGAAAAACTGGTAATTAGTCGTGTTTTTTTTATCTTTTGGCTTCTCTCCTCCGCCCTTATAATTCTTTCTGCAGGTTTTCGCATTTTCGAATATCTGGCTTGATAGAGACTAAAAGCGCGCAGAAGGCATTTGGTAACATGCTGCTCTAAATGCTGTCAAAAAACACAAAATGAGAAACGTTGTATTTGAAAGCTTCACTCAATTCTTACCATTTGAATTTCAAATATAAGATGAAAGTGATGAACTTATTGCATTACACAGAAAACACTATAGATACCAGACAGAAAGAATTTACTTTTGTGAACTACCCAGGAACAATGCATGCATTGTTTTATGTTGGCGTGGTTTTGCAGGGAATTCAACGGAAATCAGGTTTTGGCCATGGGTTCTCTGTCGTTTTCACCAATTAAGGCTCGTGCTTGTTTACTTTTACGCTTGCAGTGCCTTTATGTGATGATCGATTAGTTACAAACTCCTGAAGAAGAGCAAGACCCATAAAGAAACTCTTAATGCGGCAATCTTGGATCGCCTGTGCAGGTTTCTAAACCGCCTGTATTGGCCCATTTGTGGGAACGGCTTTTTTCACACGAAAGATACGTTTGTGCAATGCAAAGATTACCAAACCGTTAATGATCCCGTTAAACTTAACTTTCATTAAAGGTATCAACTGACAAACTTTACGAAAGAACAATACATGCATTATTTTTTGTCGTGAAGTTTTGCTCGGAATTAAACGGAAATAAGATTTTGGCGATGGGTTCTCTGTCGTTTTCACTCGTGCTAGTTTAATTTTACGCTTTCAGTGTCTTTGCATGATGATAGATTAGAGACAAACCCCAAAAGATATCAGAGCAAGCTTCATAAAAAGATTCTCTCAAATGCGGCAAGCTGAGGCCACCTTCAGAGGTAATTTTTGGTTATATTCTCATCAACGCAACAATCTTTATTACTTAAACCGCCTGTTGTTGAGACATCTGTTGAGATGACTTTTTCTCTCACTGGTGAAGAAACATACGTGTGTGATCTATTTCAGTTTGGTAGATAATTATTTACCGGAACAAACGAAAGAACACTAGGCTAAAAACACAGAATTGACTACTTCGACCAAACACCAGTGAAGTAATTAAAGAGGTATTAGTAAAATAATCAATTTTGGAATATCGAGGAGCCAAGAAGTAAGTTGGGAGTGTAAATGAGGAACACATCTTTGTACACGAGTACACTGTTGCTAAATTATTCTCCTCATTAGATTATAATATATCTGTGACTATATAACTAAATACCTGGGGAAACCTACCGAAATGCTGAAGCGAGTGTGGCACGGGGAAGGGAGGGGGGGAGGCTGCTAAATTGTTCTCTTCTTTAGATTATTATTTATCTGTGGCAGTGTGTAATAAACAACTTATATAACTAGATACCCGGGGAAACCTACCGAAATGCTGGAGCGAGTATGGTAGTGGGGGGGGGGATATACCTATGATGTATTTTACGGAGCTGTGGCCTGTTCGTTAAATCTTTTGTGAGTTCGCTTCATTGAAAAGAAACTAAAGTTCAAAATGCTTATACAGCCAGTCTTATTGAACTTTGCAGAAATAAAATTCAAGAAACCACATTATGTTTAAATATATTTTATTAAAAAAATATTCAATTCACGACATCATAACCGATCATAACAAAGCATTATCTTGTATACGTCTTCCAGAGCCTTCGGTCAACTTCGTGGCCGAGCAATCATCGACTACGAAAAGCTATCTGTTAACACGACAGAAAGACAAAGGAAGAAAAAAACGGCAATATAGAGGTTCTCGCATTTCTTTCGCTTTTGGTGCTGTAACATTTTAAAAGTTACTACACTTCAGTTTTCCAAATCAAAAAACAACAACAGATACCTTGCTCTAAATCTTGTACAACCAAGAAATAAATTCGAATTAAAACATCTACAACATAAGCTAACATTATGCAAGTGGTTGCTTCTCCTCATGAGAAAAAGTTACATGATTCAACTCCCATAACAAAGCAGAGACGCTCTCGAGACGCTAGCCGCAACAGGAAATAGAATGAAATTACTTTTGGCGTGCTTCGATATCAACTGAAAAACTGGTAAGTAGTCGTTGCTGGATTTTAAACTTAAGATTGCACACGGAAGAAATCTGAACTGTGTAAGCGCTGGGAAAAGGAGCGCTCATCTCACAAACGTCTGTACTTCAGTTACCTAAGAAGTGCATTGTCTGCTTTGGTATGAAAACTACACTGATCATCTCTAACTACGATGTGCGATGGGCTAAGTACTGCTATGTGGCTCTTTTAAAGGACGCGTGTTGAACTGGATAAATACAAAAAAAGTGGTTTAATGCTAACACTTAAACAATGACTTGAAAATAACGAACTAAGAAACATTCATAATCTTAGCATCGCTTAAGTAGACCAGAGGAGGGCCTTCGAACGAGTTGCCTTTCTTCGGCCGTTTCAAAAAGGAATGTCCTCATTCGTTCGGATTAAATATGATGACGTCTTGTTAGGAGGAAAATTTCTGTAGTCTGTTTAGATGTCTTGCAGCTCTATAGGCGTGCCAGAGCCCTAATGAACAGGCTGAATTTGATTGAAAGCTGAATTCAAAAAGAAGTTAAAATACAACTATGCTAAATTACCAAATTCCGATCGTTTGAAAAGCAGACAACTTTCAGCCTGTTTACTGCTAGGCCTCGTCAAAGTGCAATATTTCCTTTCCCACTGAAAAGAAGGAGTGAAAACTGAACATCAAATTCCTAATAGCAATGTATAAATAAGATGCCATAATAATTCGACTTAGCGCCCTCGTTCTATTAAGCGCCGCCTCTCTATTGAACGTCCTCCCGAATTTGTCATGTTTTGTTAATAATCGCCCCTATTCTAATAAGTGCCCCCGTTGACTAAGCATCCTCATTTCAATGAGCGCCTTTATTCAGTGATAGCACCGTTAGAGTACATAAACATTGAGATCAACCGTGGTTCATCTTCGTTTTACTTCTCACTTAGAGCCTCATTATCAAAAAGCTGTCTTTGTCTCTGAACCATGATGTCCACGTGAGAGCACAGTTCCTTCAAACGAATGACCTCGTCTTAAAATTGCGGCGACAGCTTGGCTGGTCGTTACAGCCAGGAAGGATCTAGGCCGGACAACAAGTCCGTTTTCCAGTCTTCTTGATCTTTTTCAAACAAACATCAAAGCTTTGTTTTGCATAATCTGCTTGTTCTCAAAAAAATAATCAAGCGCCGTGACCCTGATAGGCACCTTCCCTTGAGGTACCAACAATAGAGAAGCACCTTGGGCGCTAAATCGAATCATTACGGTAATTGGAAACATCAAATTTAACATAAATCGTCGCATTAAAACCTGTCGGATTATATATTCTGTACGAGAATCAGTTTTCACATGGGGAATGGTCATTATTGACCGCCTGCCGGGGTAGGAAGATTTTTGTTTCTTCTTTTGTTTTGGAGGGGGGGGGATCACATGGTTTTCAGAGTAAACGGAAGGGGAGTCAGTCGTCGCTAAGAGAGTATCGAGGAGTGGGGGGGGGGGGTATCAGAATAAAACAGAGCTTAAGGGGGTGATCAGGTTAATTTCACTGTGACACTTTCAAAATCTCTAATCCGATGCAAAATTTTTTAGGCGATTTAAAAGGTGATTTGCATAGCTAGCCCGACGTTGGTAGGGCTAAGGGAAGGTAAACAATCTTTTCTGAGGTTTCATAAATGTTTGCAGCTCTTTGCGAGATGAGGACGAAATTTAAACCTAAGCGTCATAAACAACTTACTCGAAAACTACTGCGTATCCTGTCTGTGCCTTGATCGTAAACGGTGCCTGAAATACAAGACTTATCTTCATTAAACTATTTATGCTCATATTTAAGCATTTCGCACTTTAATCAACTCATTCTAGAGGTAGTTTTCAACTCCAGCACTTACACTCAAATGGCACACCTCTGCACCATATTATGCAACAGCCATAGGCTGTAAGACTAACCCTCTATATAAGTGCTATACTTAAGCCAATCTCTCTAAAATCGTATTTAGAATCAAGGTATATGATCCCTAGTAGGCAATGTTACGTGTGCCACATGTATAGCGTGCAGAATGCTTAGGTGGAGAATAAATTGACAACGCATGAGATGTTTGCGTGAGCAAGAGTGGTTATCTCGTGATCTTTATTGTTCCCCGACAACAGGGATCATTAGAAGAGCTTATCGAATGTCGTTGAACCAAAATCAAAGTAATCACAAAGACCAATCAAAAGAAAGAAAAATATCATAGGAGCCAATGAAAACGTGAAGCAGAAAAAAGTGAGCTGGCTAAAGCGCGGGAAAACGCAAGTGACCAAGTTTTGTATTTGATTGGTTAAGAGATAAGAGCTAACTTTCTAGATCAACTACAGAGCGTAACAAAGAAAAACCAATGTAATCTTGGATTGATTTTGATACTTAATTGGGAAAATTGCTCCGATAGTGGCTAAAGACGGATTAGGGATTGCCATAGGAATAAGATGTGTACGTATAGATGTAGTCTCCAAATCTGATTATTTTTTATCAAACTAAACCTAGGTTTACCTACCGTCGAATAAACATGCAGACGGCCCATAAAATCCCTCCAGCACCTGCTGCGAATCCGACCACACCAATTATCACATAAACCACCATGGAGTCTAAAGATAACCACAAAGATCAAATTGAGCAATCAGAGTAACTAAACGAAAAGGAATAAAGGGTGTGGGGCGATTGCAACTTAACTTGGTCTTATCAACTGAGTTGTTAGTTAGAGTGGCTATCGTAAAGAGTAAAGCTGACGCCATGGACACCGACTCTTAGGATACTTTCGTGACGTAGAAAGGAATGAAAAAACGCATCTAAACCAGTCGCTAGACGCTTTAATCTCCCAAAACGTTCAAAGCAGCATATGGCAGTCTGTGGTCTTTCTCTACACATAGGAAGTTTCGAGAGTTCCAAAAGTTAGGCATTCTTTTAATCCCCACGGCATTAACGAAAGTTTTTCATTCAAATGATTCAATCTTGTGTTTACGTTATCATGTTCCTGCCAATATCGTAGCTCCATATTACCTCCATTTAAAACACACACACACAATACGCAATTCCTCTCTTTGCTCTGACGAAGAGCAAACCCTCGAAACGTCAGCTTTAGAAAACCTCAACGATAGCCATCATGGTACGAAAGATGCCGAAACTTTCAGTAGAGCACGTTATTCTCAGATTCTACTCACGTTTTTCAACTGGTCTTTCAGCGGTGCTCTCAAATATAGTGGAGATCTCTACGTCGCCATTCGTTGAAGACGTATCGCTTATTTTACACAACGAGGGTGAATAACAGGCTACAGAGAAGCAGTTCTTGTCAACCATGTAAGCGACATTACAACCCTGCTGTGCACAGCATCGATCCATACACATATGCATATCACTGAAGCAAATAACAGAGATAGCTAGTAAAAGATAACTGTATGGGGGAGTGGGTGGAGGGGGGGAGGGGGGACGGGGGAGCACAATTCCTTTTGGATTAAATGACAATTCTCGTATAACCGTCGGATATCAAATCGCACAATCTTTATCCTTCTCTTACATCCAACCCAATCTCTCCGTATTTAATTTTAGTGAGGTACTGTGACATAAACTCCCCAAGAAAACACAAAATCCGTTGAATTAAAGTGAGACCCACTAACCAGCAAACTTCTGGCTACGATAAAGTGGTAAAAACCTTTTGCTATAGCAAATAATGATGGATGGAGAGACGCAAAGGACAAATGAACTCTAAATCGAAAGGTCCAGTTCAAAGCGAGGCACGGTCATGTTTATAGTCAAGCTTCTTACCCTCACAGTGCCTGCACCCAGGAGTAAAGCATACAATTTAGGGAAGGAAGCAATAACCCTTGTCGCTAAATGCCAAAGTAAAGCTCACGTATGTCCAGAAATGCACGCAGTAACGAAAATGGCAGATTTGACGACATTTCGTCAAACCGACTGAATGTTGATGGAGTTGACGATTTTAGCCAATATTGGTCAAATTCGTCAAAGCAAAATCAGCTTGGCGGATTTTGTCGATTTTGACGCTTTTTTGCCCATTTTCGTTACGGCAGGCATTTCTGGACATATCCAAAAGCTTATCGGTAGTAATGTTGAGCAGTCTTGTACGCAGACTTAAGAATATCTTTCTTCTCGATAACGAAGTAAAGTTGGAAAAGAAAAAAATTCAGTCGGTGCTCAAAGAAACCTTTCTTAGTGGAGAGGTTGAACAGATACGCGTCTCACTTTATGCCTAGTTGAGAGCAATGGTCTATCTCGTGCTAAAGCTAAACAGCTGTCGTTAGAGAGTAACTTTTCAGAAACTCACATTTCTCGTTCAGGTACTAAGCACACCATATATTGAAATATTGTCATAAAACTTTTAAATGAACTGTACCTGACGACTCCCTCAAAACTGAACCTTCCCGCTTCTAATCCTCCAACTAAAGTCTTATTACTGAATATCTTGGACTGAGACTTTTGATCTGCCCGACATGTCGGCGTCTGGTCGCTAGCGGAGAACATTGTCCCTAAAATGGGAGAGGGAGTTCGTTTTATGATGTTATGCAACATGATATGTGTCTTTTTCAGTATCACATCTCCTTATAACCTATGATCCTGTAATTTGTAATTACCAAGGTTCTCGTCAGGTGAAAAGTGCTCTAAAAATTTTATACGAGCCACACAAACCTTTGTCTTTATCATTATAAAATCCCCTTGAAACATAGGACACTTTTGGTTCAAGGTGAGACGGTTTGGCCAACACAGCTTGACATAGCTTTTCACTCTGACACTCTACAGAGTAACAGTGATCTCCGAACATGAAAGCGAGGTCACATGACGTGTCGTCACAGCATTTGCCGATACAGTCTCGCATCGACAGCACTCCAGACCTCTCGGTAAAATTTCCTGAAATCAAGGCGAAAGATGTGTCGCAAGTCAATTCTAAAAGTTTATTAGCAGTTAAAACATTCTCAGAAAGTAAAGCCTGAAAAAGGGAAATACCTGCGTCAATCCCGCCTCGTAAAGTCACGTTGTAGGTGATGGTGCTGTCGCGACATTTGTCTTGAGCTATGTTGTTGTTCGTTGTCACTACAGATGTCGAAAGAGATGAAAGATTTATTTCTTTTCCAACAAAGAATGAGAAAATATCGTTTGAATGAAAGACGGTGTATCTTAGTCGCACGCCTTCAAATAACAGTTAATTCTAATTAACATGATTCTACCGACATTTGAATGAAATGTTAATTACTAATCAACAATATTTACTACAGACAACTGTGATTTAGCATCAACTTCTTGATAAATTGTGACCCTCTATGGGAAAAAATGCACAAAGGTGTCATGACACGGTACATTAAGTGTGCCACAAATTTGCTGACATACGCATATTTAATAAGCAAACAAATGTTAAAAGCCGAATCATTAGCTGATATCTTGAGCTAGGTCTGTGCATAAATTGCAGAATCGTAACCTGCATGAACTTACCAAGAGAGCTTATACCAAACTGCGAGTTCTTTTTGAGAAACGAGATTGCAGGATTCAAGTTAAGTCGAGAAATACTTGATCCAAAGATAGGGACAGTCTTGCAAAGATCCGCGCTGTAACAGTGCACGGCATAACACATGCTGCCTAACATGAAGGCAACGTCACTCCGTGGTTCTTTACAGCTCATCTCTATGCAGTCGTCCATGGAGTCTACTCGACCAACTTTTTGAAAGACTCCAGAGTGGAGTCCCATCTTAAGGGTGACGTTGTACTCGATGGGTGTGGCGTCACACGAATGCGCCACTTTGACAGTTGGGTTTGTAGTTGAATCAGCTGAAATTGTAGACAAATAGAAAGATACAACTTTAAGGAGTAGTCATCATTTGTCGCCTGGGGAGAGAGTGGAAAGGGGGGGGGGAGGAAGGAGGAAGACTGGTCTCTCAAATAGGTATTTTTAAGAATCTATTCTTCTATAAAGCTAGATATTTTTGATATGTCTGGCTTAAGCAGGGTGCTGGGTGAAAGAGAAATTTAGGTTCAAGTGGCCAGGCCTTGAATATATTTGAGACTGAGATTAAAACTATATGGTTAAAATTTATTTCAAGTGGAATGCTTAACTTCATCATAAAGAGATCTAAAAACATGTAAAGAGATACAAGTTTGATATTCATGTGAAATGTGACCCCATAAAATGATTATATGGTTAAAGTGTAATCATTTTGTTATCTCAGTCACTTCACAGAGTTGTAAGTGTGCCATACTTTGCATCATTCCACAAGGGACCTAAACTGAATGCGTACGTTAACAATGCCATAGTGACGAGGCCAGATCGGGTAGAATCAGCTGTCCGTAGCTGATAACCTGTTGGTTTTAGTTTTCATCATTTTTTGGTAGTTACGACCAAGTATACCGCTATCGCCTTATTGCGCATTTTTTGGCTGCGAAATACATCTTTGATCATCGTTACTGCAGCTAAATTAAAATTTCTTCCTTCAGGAAAGGACATGTTTTCAAAAAGCGTACAAAAGGTTATAGAAGAAAGCTGTTTCACAACCGAAATAACACTTTTCCCGAACTTGTTGTTGAAATGAAAAACTAATACAAATGATAATCAGTACCTTGGTGAACTTCTGAAATTGTTGATAGAGTGGGAGAAGGAGAGGTGGCCGGCGTCGGGGACGAAGATTGTGACACCGATGATGTCAGCGGAGTTGTGGTGCCTGGCGTTGATGTCATGTCGGTAAAAACACCTTTGACGTTATAATTTCCTGTGAACAACAAGTGATGGTATCGATATCAATCTCAGTTTTTCAGGAACGGCCCGTGGTTAGGAAAAGGTAAAAATTAATCTGTACTCGAGTCAAGTGACCCGGCCAGCCGTAGCTCATACCGGTTTATATAGCACGAAGTGACTAGGAGTTTTATTACTCCCCCCTGGATGGGACGCCAGTCCATGTTCAAATCACCCTCAGTACTTCATCAAGGCTTCCTGACAATTCGCCGGTACCCGTTCATACTCCAAGGTGGAAAGAGGCAAAATGAAAGTATGGTGTTTTCCTCAAGAACACAACACAATAAACCGGCCGAGTCTCTTTCTCGACCTGGTACTTAGCTCACTAACTCGTAGGCCACTGAGTCTCCTACTACAGGTTAGGAAACCCCAAAGCCATCTTAAGGCTCGACGAATGTGGTCTTTCGGTAATAAGAACCACATGTATCTTACATGTTGAGGGAGAAGGGGAGTTCTGGATGTAGGCGACGTCGATCCCTTGCACGGTCGCCCCAAGTTCCTTCGCCCCAAAACAAGTTTTGCCTCCCCGAAGTATGAGTTAAAAGTTGCATCACTCACAACTTTCGACCTGAGTTAAATTAGGATTTTTAAACGTATTTGACATAAGTTTTCAAGCTTAAATTTTTTATGTCCCAGGTAAATTCTTCAACCAGCGATCGCAATGTTGTGACTGCTTAGTAACCAGAGAAAAATATCCCAGGCAAAAATATCCCGAACCGACCTTAGGGCGACCGTGAAAGGGAGCACGTCACCTGCTACCGTTCTATTCCTTCCACTGGACTCAGATTTCTTCTTTGCCTAACACTCGTGACAAAATGAATATCACATTTACTCGACAAGGTCTTTCTTACCTTGAGGTTTCTTCCTTATGGCAATGCGAGGAAGATAATGAGTAGGTCGGGCCTTTCTCGGCTCACAAGCCCCATTACTGTTACACGAAACTGAATAACAATCGTCCTCAATCATAAATGCCAAATCACAAGTGTCACGCTTGCAACAGAACTGCATGCATATGTCCATGTTAGTGGTCTTCCCGTTATCACTAAATGTCCCTGCATTGATGCCCCCGACCAAAGTGTAATTGGACAAAATTTCACCGTCCCAGCATACGTTCTTCTGTTGAGGTGACGCTGTACAAGAGAGAAGGAAAAATAGTTTCCGTTAATGTGCTAATTTGTTGTGGGTTTTCGCGTACATAAAGTAGTGGACGGTCAGACATGGTGGAAATACCTTGTGAAGTATGAGAGTTCTGTCTGTGCGTTAAACGTAATCTTGCATACTCAGCAAATCTGTCTAAGTCTGCGTTACTCAGTGACTTCAGGGCGTCGTTAACGTTCTCATAGTGATGGGGACGTTCTTTGTTGTCATCATCTCTCCACTTCCTACTGTGTTTGTTTTTATTGACAACTTTATGAAGGAATTTGTGGAGAAGCACCTTCAAAACTTTGTCAACAGTCATGTGATGCGTATTTGATAGCGCGTGAATAAGAGATGCGTTACCATACGTCTTATCGTGTGACGCTAAATCGTTAATAGATGCGACGTGGTTTGTTTTGGGAGAATTCATCTCCTTCATGAACACACCCAGAATACTCCGCGGGGGCGTTATCTGAGTTGTTTTAACTGAGTCTACTTTTGTAACTGGTGTTGCAGTGGCAATTGTCTGATCTTCACCATGAAAGACTGGCAGAGCGTACACATTCATTTGTCCTCCCTCAATGTTCGCTATAAGTGTTTCAAACCGCATTTGAGGCGTCGTTGGCGTAAACATGTCGGTAGAGAAATTTTCGTCTATGATTTTACTCATTGATTGATTGTCACTAGGGAATGTCTTCAGAGACGTGCTAACTTTATTGCTTACGTCATTATTTGCGTCAGTGTTTACGTCAGTGTTCACGTCTTTTTCCACAGAGAAGTCAGTGCCATCACCGTATTTGTCATTCACAGGTGTAAAGTTTACTGCAGTCTGTTTTTGTGGCTTCTTTCCATACAATAGGCGCCTGATGATTTTCATGAGAGCCTTAAGTTTTGGCCGGTTTAACACTGTGGAACAAGGTTCAAGGCAAATATACTTTAACGAATAAACTGAGGGAGAGTTGAGGCATCCAGCAGCACCATCTGATACTTTATTGAATGTTTGGAACAAAATGAACGTGACTTCAAATTAAAGACCCAGTTTTGACCAGTATACATTGTGCGCGGCGTTGGCTATCGGCGGCCATTAACTCAGCGCTAATTATTGCACAAGCTTCGGGAAAACATTGCAAGCCTCGTTTTCGTGAATACAACCACAAAAACAGAGGCGCGCAATGCATAGTGGCTAATACTGGGTCTTTAATTCTGTTAGCTAAGTGGCCTATTGCAGTTAGAACCTATCCTGGTTTCCATTTCATATAAGGTTGGGGGTCTCGCTACTTCTCATGGCCGCTATGCTATCCCATGGTGGGTAAAAACCCAACCCAGCATTTTCTTTCTTATGATCTATTAGAGAGCAGACGCATAGATGGAAAAATTTTGCTTCCTTATTATATAAAACAAATAGATTCCATGTTACTGAGGGCCTGTACAGTAATGCATCACAGAATACATCAAATTGTGGTAAGAAAACCAGTGACACACTCGTCTGCGCCCCGTGGGCCACATTTTTGTTCTTACTATAAATTTGACGTCAACAAACGCAATCTGTTGTTAACTCTATACTCTTGGGTGGAGAAAGTCTGTGTATGAGTAAAGTGTTTTCACTCAAAAAACAACTCTGTCACCTGAACGAGGCTCTGGAATTGAACTGGAATTCTCGACAACATTTAAGTGTGACGCCCACAGTGCGACTTCTCTATTTTCTTGAGTCAATAATCTACGGATATAATTACGAAATACAAACTTGAACAGGAATAATCCACAAACTTACCTTTATCTTTCTTTGTGTCGTGATACACATAAGCAATTCGCGGGTTGTACCTTGCGGGATTTCTTGCGGGACGTGACTCGCACAGTGATTCATTCAAGCAGCTCACACCGTAGCATTCGTTTTCGAGCATGAACGCTACATCGCAAGCGCTTTTCATGCAGCACCGCTGTGTGCAAAGACTCATGTTGTCAGCGTTACCAAGATCAGTAAACTTTCCTGCATTTATCCCACCAACCAGTGTGACGTCATTGTGAACTGCGCTTGCGCGGCATTGAGAAACATCTGAAGGTTTGGGTTTGTTGGCTTCAAAACAAAAACAAAGGGAAAATCAACGCATGTGCAGTTGAGCATGTACACTGAATTAAGTAAAGAGGCAGAAGTCCAGAAAGTTGTCGTAATTACCTCTCAGTTTTTTGCGCATTAAGTGTCTAGGAGAATGGCCGCTCTCTATCAATAGCAGTGGCGTATTCACTGGGAGGGACTGAAGGTTTTGTTTCCACGTCTATCAAGACTTGTGGAATTTTTACTACTAAGATTATCGCAACGACAGATCGCATATTACCGCACAACGAAGGGAGATGGATATAGATTGATCGAATAATTTGCCTGGAAGAAACATTTCTGTGTTTTCTGAACCACAGTTTGGAATCCTCTCTCCCAACTTCCCGCCCCCCTCCCATTATAAACTCCTTGATTCGCTTAACTTATGAATTGACTCATATATTAATTTACAAGGTTCCTATCGCTTACATTTGAACTTTTAGCGAGGCAAAAAAGTCTAAGACAGTTCTTTCACAAATTTTGAAATTACAAAAACTCTATCCAACGGCAACATAAGATTCTGTTCTCACCTGAGACAATCTCCTTTGTGTGTTTCACAAACGCTATCTGTGGCTTGTAAAACGGTGAAAACGCAGGTTTTGTGAGACAGAGAGCATCACTATAACACGCCACGGCGAAGCATTGCTTCCCAAGCATAAATGCTAGACTACAAGTTTCCATTCTTCCACAAGCGCGCACGCATTCGGACATGTTCCCGACTTTCCCTTTGTCGCTAAACTTTCCTGTTTTAATGCCATACTTCAGCGTTACATTGTATAGAATTTCACCTGCTGTATAGGTGTTCTTGTGTGGCAAGCCGTTTTGAAGAGTAAGGTAGTTTTCTTGGATTTCAGGTGTTGGCGACGGCGAAGTGGTGGGTGATCTTTGTGTTCCACTAAACGTGGTTGGGGTGAAATTAGTGGATGACGGGCTTGAAGAGCTTCCCGTGGTCGCTGTGCTGGAGGTTGAGCTTCCCGTGGCACCAGAAGGAGAAGTGAAGTTGTTTGTGCTTTCTGTTGGCTCCACTTCCAAGTTATCTGTAATACAGGTACCTTGATTTATTATGGAAACTTGGCATGGACAAGAGAGCGAGCCATATTCATCGGAAAAGTGAGAAGTTCTTACTATTGATTAAGTTAACAATCATCTTGCGAGGTTGTTTTACAAAGCTTTTATGTCTGGTCTCAGAAATCAAATTTTGTTCGTCTTATAAAGTTCGTATGAGGTAAAGTTTGCACCTGGTCTTCAAGTTAGTAATTTCTTCGTAGATAGTGAACAAAATCCTCTTGTTGATAGACTATGAAACTGCCAACAAATCAAAATTCTATCTGAAGATGACGATGAAACAAAACATAGGCGAAGACATAGGGCCGTGTGGTAAATCACTGAAGGTGGATAACAGAGAAGTCGTTTTCGTTTTGTTATCAACGTTGAGTCTCGGGTAAGTTGCCTATGGGAAATACGTTTGATTTGATTTGTCTCACCTATTAGTCTATATACGCTATTGGCATAAGTCCCACCCAGTCCATCGCGGCATCTCCTTGATATTCCATACATTTTATAGTCAATTTCAGCGCGGGGTCCACCAAAGCACATTCCTCCTCGCTGAAGGGCGAACACAGGATAGCCTCGCTTTCGCGCCACCTCTCCGCACTTACGCAGTGGATCGAGGCGTGATTTGTAAAAATCGTCTAATTTTTCATCTGAGTGCTCCATTACAGGCAGGGCATGGATACCGGAGTCGTTCCAGCAACCGAGCGAGATGTAACCTGAAATTTAAATTGAATCGGGGAGCGTTTATAACTGAATTAAAACCTCTGCGCGTAAATTAAATCAATCTTTCTCTTTAATTCCACATACTCACCAATATCTGTCAGTCGGTAGACATCATTGGCGAACAAGCCTCCCTTTCCTGCCTTACAAGATGATGATTCGCCAAACTGGTTAAACGTTCTTCCCGCTTTCGGTCCGCTTAGGCAGGCTCCGCCATTCTGGATGGCAAAAACTGAGACAAGCAAAAAAAAAATCATTGGTTACAACTTATAGCAATCTTTCTTTGCATTTCAAACGTTGGTGTACATTCATATAAGTTAATTTCCACACAGTGTCAAACCAGTTTAAACAAGCTGCTAAATTTGATTACCGAGCCGATCAGAATACTAAAAATTTATTGCCGCTAAGAACGCTGAGCATTTGATTGAGATGTTTACGGCACATTGTCACCGACATCAAATTTAATTTAGTCCCCCTCCGCCCGATCACGAGGAGCTAAACGGTAACAGCTTACCTTTGAAGTCGTGCTTTCTTGCTACTTGTGCGCATGTGTCGATTGGCTTCTGTCGTGTGAGATAAGGCTCTGTTAGCAGAGGATCTGCGCCTTCCAAAGGGGAAACTGCAAACGATTCCGTATCTTTCCAGCAACCTAAAGACGCATACCACCTGTTGGCTGTAAAACACAAAGTAGGATTTGGAGAGTCCAGTGAGACTGTTGTCAAAAGAAACTCAGTTCTGCATTGGTTTCGCTTCTCTCTGCACGCTTTGATTGCTTGAGAAAGCTGGCCTTACCCTCTCAACCAACCAGACACTTAAAGTAATCGCAACTCGGTCACTTTTGTCTTCCGCGTTTCAAACATTTTCGCCGTTGGATTGACTTTGGTGTTAGTTTCACCTCAATCGATCGAATTGCACTTAAACCCTAACAGTAAGCATAACATGTCTCAAACTTTGGTATCCCTGAGTTGAAAAAGAAAAGCATAGAAATAAGTAAAACGGTGACTCGACGGATTAAACAACTTAAAGTAATACCTGGAATTTCGTCATCGGGCGGACTCCAATTCACGTAAGCCAGTCTTGGGTGATAATATTCAGAAAGCGCTGGTTTTATTTGGCACGACTCATAATCTTTACACGATACTAAGAAACAGTTGTCCCGGATTAGAAAAGCCACGTTGCATTGTCCGTCTGCACAGCAATAGGCTGAACATTCGTCCATGTGCTTGACCACGCCTTTGTCAGTGAAGTTCCCTGACTTGATTCCCCCACGAAGAGTCACGTTGAATATGGTGTTACTGACGGACAACTTATCACAAGCGTCTGAGTTTGGCTTTTCAGCACCTGGTAAAGGATCTGGGAATAAAGAAATAGAAATAGCATTAAGCGAAATAGACAAAAGCTCATCATATCTTGCAACCTCTAGAGCTGATCGTTCTCTCCGATGGCAGAGTCAAGGTTTCGTACTCTCAATCCCTACACCCAGGCGAACTGGTTGACTACAATATGATGAATACTTAATTGGTATCTGATTACGTTCACCCTTGTTGACTGTACGTTGATCGATATGGGAAGCCTGGAAGGGAAAGAGGAAAGGCGAGCTTCTTGTTGCAGGCTTGTGACATGTATTAAGAGAGGTTCACACATATTTTACTCCTGGCGGAAAATATAAAAATGTGACTGATATTAAGCGAACAACCACTCAACAGAGGAGAAAGCGGCATAATTAACGAAACAAGGTTTTGAAGTCGAGGAAGCACGCCAATTACCAGACTGAAACGACATTTCTGCACTGGATAATACGAGAGGGCAGCGGAAATTACCGCAAAAAACCATCCAGGCAGGTAAGCTGAAATGGAGTCTACTAAACTTCAGTAACCATGAAAACCTTATTCTAAGCGAAAGATTCAGAGCTTAACAATTCCAGAAAATTAAGAGTTGCTTGAGGAAATGATACTCTGGGAGATGCCTCGTAAAAAAAATATACTCTTTACTTACCCCCTATCGGTCTTTCATTGCCACGGTACACGTATGCCACAGTAGGGTTATAAGAGGAAGGTTTTGCTCGCTTCACCTGACACCCCTCCGCATCCGCACATTCAACTGCGTAACAATTTCCCTGGATCATAAACGACACGTCGCACTTGTCGTCACGGCAACAATGACGTATGCACTCATCCATATTGCGGGCTCGACCATACGTGCTGAATTTTCCTGCGTTGATCCCGCCGACCAGAGTAACGTTGTAGCTCACAGCCGTGTGGTGACAAATCGGTTGGTCCTTAGCGGGTAATGTTGTTGGTTTGGATATACTTGAGGTGATAGCCTTGTTGTAAGCGCTTCCATCTACAGGCAGTTCTAAGGAAAAGAAGAAATATTCAGTACCAAAGCTTCTGATCAATTATACTAAGTTTGATGGAGATCACCGTTTATAATATTGGACAACTTTATTCAATGTGCTTACATTTTACAAGCTAAGTCGCTGGTCAAGTTGGAGTTAACCTTATAACTATGAGTGACTTTTGTAACACTGCGTTTTAACACCATTCTGTCGATGTCTATTAGACGAAAGGATTAACGAACGGTGGATAAATACTAACATGCACTTGATCATGAAAGGAAAAAAACACTTTGAGCTTCACACAGCGAGCAAAGTGACATGCCGCGCGTGGAAGCGAAATATTTATCAAACCACTCACTGCAAAATTGCAATTGGCATTTGAAAACTAGAAATTTAAGCAATGATTGAAGAAACTATTTTACAAGTCTTATATCCAGAGGGCGAATACATGAATAGTGTAAACGTCGCTTGGAAGCTTTATTTACTTTTTTCAGCCGTTCAAACGTTCCGTTTTTAGAAACATCTGGAATCAGAGTTTAGAATTAGAAGCCAGTCTTGTGAACACCTGGATTTTGGTAACTTTGGGATTGCATAATGATTTTAGATGAAATTTATATATTTGCACTGCGGTGAAGAAACGAATTTAAGAGATCCTCGCAGCTAAGAACACTACTGAACTAGTAGTTGAAAATAGGACCTGAAAAAAATTCAGGCCCGTACGGGATTTGAATCCATGACCTCTGCGATACCGGTGCAGCGCTCTACCAACTGAGCTAGCAAGCCAAGTGGAAGCTGGTCAATATGTTGGGTCCAAGTAAACCATCCAAGTGATGAATAATGATTTTAGATATATGAAATTCATATATTTACACTGCGGTGAAGAAACGAATTTAAGAGATAATTGCAATTTGGGATTGCAATGATCGCATATCAACTTACCTGGCTCGGGTGTCACCGACTGCAAGTGTGAGACAAAAGTGATACTGGGGTTCATATTTGAAGGTCGCGCCCGTTTGGTCTTACATAAACTCTGATTGGTACATCGCACCAAATAGCACGAGTCCCGGATCATGAAAGCCAAGTCGCACGACTTTCGTAAACAACAATGTTTCGTGCACAAGTCCATGTCGTGCACGTGCTTTGCCTCAGAGAAGATCCCGGATTTGATGCCGCCAATCAGTGTAACATTATATTCGGGTCTTGTTACGGCGCATCTCTGCGAGTCGTCAGCTTGTGTAGGTGTGGGTGGTCTTTCAGTTTTCTTGGTCTGGTGGACGGTTTCTAGAAAACGAAAAGTAATATCATTCAACCATTTGGTGTTTTGCCTATTGTGGTCTGTATATGTCTTATGCGCTAGTCAAATCGAAACTTCAAAATCCGTCCCCCCGGGTAACCCATAGGCATTTGACCGTCGTCCGCGCCCCAGGGGTGGGGAATTTGAATCTTTTCTGGGTGGGGTATGGAATTTGAGCCAACTAAATACATGGGTCTCGATTTTAAACATGGATGACTTTAAAGATAGAGTGTCCGCTTTCGTGAGTTAGTGACCTAGAAGAAAATTTTCACACCGTAGAATGATGCCCACAAGCGAAAAAAACACAAACACCAGCACCAAAAACTAGTAAGTGAGTTTGCTAAATTGTACAATATTCGTTGATCTGAAAGAATCGTTCAATAAAAAAACGTGCTTGAGTGCGGCATTTGAACACAATTTTTGCCAGGGGGGGGAAGAGGCAGGAATTTGAACGAAACAATCTTCAGAAGTATAAATTACTGGGGGGTTGGCCGAGGGGATGTTGAAGCTTCGAATTGATCGACGAATTAGCTTGAAAAACTGATATAGATTTAACTCAAGCGAGGAACACAGTCAAACATCTAACTGACCATGTTCATTTGCTTTGAGGTGTTATTTTGTCCATTCCTTAAACAATGTTTCCGCTTCTCAAAAGAGAAGGCCTTCGGATGAAAAGCCATAAAAACAATCCGGAACCGAAGAAAAGGTCTCATGGAGCCATACAGAGGTTAAAGTATAGGCATGGAAAGGCCGACGGGAAAAGACCAATTACAAAGTCGCGACTAGTTTAAGTTTGGTATTTGATTGGAAGTAAGGGTAGAGTGACGTTTCTTGATAAATCAAAAGCAAAGCAATCCCGATTTACTGTGGACGCTCTTAAACCAAAAGTAACCCGGTAAAAACAAGGCCGAACAGCTAATGATCTCATTTACTTCCTACCTGTGTTGTAAGAAATGAGAAAACCTTTCCCTTTCCCTCCCTCAGTGCTGGTAAACTGTACAAACAAATGATTCCCACTCGATGTTATCCCTGTCGGCCGCTTGGTTCCACAGTAAACCCCGAGTGCCTCCGAATTTTCTCCACTTCCGTCTCTAACAATAAGTTTGGCATTTTTGCACGTCCCGTCTTCATCCAAACTGAAGCGTTTAAAACTAAGCGTGATTGTCTCCCTCGGATCAACAGACAGATGCCATGCACAAGTGGTTTTCCCTTTATAGCTTCTAGGCCATTCCGGTGATTCCAAAATTCCTTTTGGACTGTTAAAAAGGCCGCCGCATACTAAGGGAAGGAAAAGAGAGAGATCTCAAGTAAATCAATACTACGTACATGAACTGAAAATGAAAAAAAGGACAACTGGTTCTGACGTACCACTTTATTTTGAGCTTTATGGAAAAAGTTATACAGGTTTAGAGCAATTTTCAATTGTGCTAAAACTGATCCAGATTTCCTTTGTTTTTGCTTTGTTTCGCTCTGTGATTGGTCCAGAAAAACTTCCATCACTTTCTCATCCACTCAGATGCAAAACCAATCACGCCTTCGTCGCCCACGTTTTTCCGCGCTTTAAGCAGTTTTTTTTTTTTTTAGTCTGAGTTCTCATTGGCTCTAAAAAGTATTTTCCTTTCTTCCGACCGGTCGTTGAGATTACTTTGGCGTTTGTTTTTTTTACGAAACTCAGTCGAAAAGTGCCCTTAACACCGTGACTTATTAGTTTGTGTGGTCGTATATAAATCCTTTGAAATAACTTGGCTCCTCGGCTTTCAGCCTAAAAATATGCATCTTAGCCGTAACAACGATAGCACATACACAGACGTTTAACCACCGTGTTACTACCCAATCATCTCAGACTAACCTCTTTCAAAACTGCATACTTTCATGAGTTTTCCAATTTCTTCCTGCGACAAAGCCTTGTTGTAAATCCTAAACTCGTCCACCTCCCCCTGGAGAAACCTTTGGTTCTTGTGTTTTCCGATTCCCGCATGCGCATCCCAGTCTTGAGACAGTAGACCCTTCCCGGCAGCCTCTGCTTTTAGTCCTCCATTGACAAAAATCTTAGCGATACCAGTGTGCGCGTCATACGTGCCGACTACATGGTTCCAAACATTTGCAGGAATTATTGGATCTGTAGAAAATTGAAAGGGTAAATGCCTCTATTTTTTATTGTGGACATGCATGTTCAAGGATATTTGACGGTCTCTGCATAATCAGCTCACACTTGTAGCCAGGAAAAGCTTATCAGTGACCATTGTGATATTTTTGGCCATTTGTAAGCATTGGACTTCGCAATGGCATATTTACTCAGAAAGTTTTTCTTTCTTATTATTTTAGCAACTCATTAGCTCGAGAAATAAACTCATAGACAAACGCTGACCTACTTTTTCCCTTGAGCATCAGTCAAAGTCCGAACAACCCTTCCCATTCAGACGACATTACTTGAGCTGGACTTTCGAACAATCGTTAAGGAATAGAAATACCCGTCATGCTCCATACCGCAGAACCTCGGAAAAGACACCGCTCCAGATAGGCTCGTAAATTTTTAACCATATAAAGTAGATCAAGGTGAGGTCAGTGAAAGGTTCTTAAAGCAGATGTAAACTTCGCAGCAGTACACCAGGCGTACTTCATCATACTTACGCAATAACTTTTCTCCGCCAAAAGAACAAATTATCCCGCAGAAGAAGAAGTAACAAAGAGCTGATCTTGACGACTCATTTGAGTTGTCAATCGCCGACATACCTGTTTCAACGCTGAAGATTTTGATCCCAGTTTCATTCCTGTGGAACCACCGAACGCTGCCATCTTGAATTTCGAAATGATATTGTCCTTGTTGATGCATAGAATGGCCACCTACTGTGTCGAATATCGAGTGATAACCCTTGTTAGAATCGAGTTTTATCCATGCTGCAATGCTTACGGCTTGACGGGGTTTCATCTGAAGAGAGATTCCGAGATTAAAACTTAAAAGAAAGACATAATGTCAAATCTCCTGAAATATCTAACCCAATAAAAATGTCGAGAAATTTGTTTGCCCAAAGAGCTACTCCATTCTTTGTCCTAAGTCGCAGCGAGGAAATGAGTTTACATCGTCTCCCACAGTATTTAGCACTTTTTTCGGCGAGACATGAATAATGTAAATCTGAAGAAGTTAGCCCGCCTCTTATGTAAATGCCTTGTGAATTCATCCGGTATGTTGAGTGATTTAAAACTACTAAAATCAGCGTGTAAGTTCTCTAAAAAGCTTAGCTGCAAACTTGTTTGTATAGCGCAACTTGAAACAACTGTTTTATAGTTACGAGAACCACCTTTTTAATCCCATGCAAAAGTTTACTTGAGTACGTTTTCTTTCGCAATGATGCAGAAGACACAAGCAAAACCAATCATGTTTATCACTTCAGCTTTAAGTCGTTATTAGGTTTGATGCATCTGCAGGAAGCGTTGATGGTAATAAGACAACTTGGAAATTAATGAGCATAGATAACTATAAATGGCGTTTTGAGTGAGAATCAGTCATGAAAACCAGATTAAGCACAGTTTGAACGCGGCGTTTGAAAAGCTGTTCAATCTATCATGACCACAACAACTAACGATTATTGGTCATACTCTAATCCACTTTCAGCTTCAACTTAAAAAAAAAAAACTTGCATATTGTGCAGCCATCTCATTAAACCCATTCACTGTCACTACATGTATTTACCTTCAACTGCTTGCCGTTGAGAAGTATCTCGCTTCCGTTGTTAAGCCTTGCAACTTTTCCACATGATCCGAAAAACTTTGTGATCTCTGTTCGCTTGTCCGTGCCAGTTACATCTCCATTTAAAGATGCATACGTCGCTCTACCGTTTTGCACATTCTCTAAATCCAAGTACAAGACAAGCCCTTGCGGAACGCGTGATCTCTGTGACAAACCGTTTTCAAAATTTAATAGATTGTTAAGATTCGCCGTAGGCGAAGATAAGGGCCATTCTGGATTTATTCTTGCCCCCTCCCGAAAGAATGGCAATGGTTTGGTTGGCCTCATTTGAGAAAAGGAGGTGATTCGTGGGTTGCCACCTGCAAGCGCTATCTGAGATTTTATAAACTGGGGCTGATAATTGAATTGATGTCCATAATTGTAGAGGGCACGCTGTGAAGTGGGAATAAACTGCTTTTTACTCTGATCATCGGTGTTCTGTAAGCTATTTCTCTGTTGCTGTCCAGCTCCGTATTCATATCTCACTGGTTGTGGAACATTCGATTGGCTAGGTACAGGGGCGTTTTGCAAAACTGTGCGCCAGAGAGAAGCAATTTGTGGTGTCCTTAGCTCCGATTTTAAAGTCATAGCTTGATTACTCTTTGGAATAAAACTCACTGTCGATGCAAGCGGATAAAGAGCTCTGTTAATGTTAGAAACGCTCTGTCTCCGGTTTTCAACTGCACTGTATTCCTTAGGAACTGAGGATAGTTTGTTCGGATTCAGTGATAGAGAAGAACTTTTTGCCCCGTATACTACTGGATCATACGTCGCATGAGGAATTACATTTCTATCAACAAGAACCTTGTTGTAAGAATTTATTGTCGCACTTGGTGCCCTCCAATCTGTTTCCTTCAGGAACTCTCCCTTTATGACCCCATTTAAGGGAAATGTGGATGATTTTCCTGGAAACACACTTCGAGGTTTAACATGTTTCTGTTGGGGTGTTTGCCGGCCTTTTTTCCCTTTGTGTTCTTTCAAGTCGCTGGACTGTGCCTCGACATCGTCCTGTCCCAAAATCGACTTTCGTTTGAATCTCAGTAAGACTCGTTCACCACCAAGACGAAAAGGAAGATGCTGCAAAGACCGTCTCTTCATCATAAAACGTTTTTGTTTAAGTTCATCCCTATCAGAAAAGACAATGTTACGCTTAAATCTCCCTAAGCTTCTTTCCTGATGCTTTAAACGTGTACGATGATGCTGACCGCTGGTAACCTTGGAAGAGTATTTTCTCCTTTTCTTTTCGCTTGAATTGAAGTGTGTTTTAGCTATGTCGCTTTTACTCTCTCGTTCATAATGTGTCTGAAGCTTTGACCGATCTGGTTTATTTAACGATAGTTTCAGATCTCTCTCAGCTCTTCTTTTGCCACCTTTCCTAGATCTTTTCCTAGTAGAAGCTCGTTTTTTGGGACTAGAATTACCACGAGAGGTTTGTAAGGCACTTCTAAGCTTGTTTATATCATTTAAAGAACGCGTTAAATCATAAAAATGAGTGACATTGTTAGAAAAATGGGTAACATTTTGTGAAGGAATCCGCTGCGCTTTAATAGTCAACGTGACATCAGAAAAGTTTGCTCTTTCGAGCGGTATTTTATTAGACACGCCTGGGGCTTTGGCTCTCGTCGAACGCCTTCTGATTTCTTTTGCGGAAGAAACACCCAAACGACGTTTATTTTTAAGGTCTTGTTTTTCTGAGGATGATGGTGCATTGAGAAGGTGGATTCCATCTTTTCCGGGATCAGTCAGATTCGTTGAAAGTGGAGAAGACGACTGAAACGAATCGTTGAAGAAAGCTTGCGAAGGGCCTGCAAAAAAGGTGGCAGAACACACGTACAATTCAAGAAAAATTCAACATTACTTGGCCTAGAAGTTTTCGTGAGATCTGGGCAAGAGTATACAGCTTCTGGTCTAAGCCTCGGGATATGCCGAGCTCAGTTGAAGTTACCTATGGTCTCTCGAACGGCGGTCTATTTACATTTAAGTCGGCATCAAGGCTAACATTGACCAAATACAAGCAATTTATTGATGAAAGCGTGGAAATTTGTGACAAGAAGGAGAATTGCTTATGTGATCTGAGGAGTAGAAGGGTTAAGTTCCGTCGCGTAAAAAAGCTTTTTGGCGGTCAGTTTTGTCAATCTCTTAATTAGCACTTTCGAGGATTGCCGGCAGGGATTGACTTCAACGGTTAAATGTTAAACGACCTTGGCGGTTTGTTAGTCGATGATATTTCTCGTAAAAATTCAATGAAAACCACGCCTTGATTTAAAAAAAGAGATAAGTTGACTTCATAACATCAAAGATCACAAGGTTCTCAAGGTACACGCCTCTCAAAAAGGTGACATGTCACACAATCCACTGAAAGAGAGCCAAAGGATTTCCCCTGAAGATTTTCAGGAACGTCAAACAAAGAACTTCTACCCTCCCTATTACCGATATACATATTCTTTATGCAATGAAACTAAAAGCTTTTTTACATTAATCATAAAGATATTTTCATGTGAAACAAAATAAATAAAGGAAACTGTATTTCGTCCAAATGAGGAAAATATAAGCTCAGGGAAGGAAAACAAGATTGTGATTCAAAATATGCGCTCGAAGGGATCTATTGGGGCGCTCTACTTGTTGAAAGAAAAAAAAAGAAGATAAAAGCATGGATACAGTCCTTATTTCGTCCTCTTTAAATCTTAATTAGTTCCTCTTCATCCCAAGGGAAAGACAGGACTTTTCCAGCCATTTTCCAACCCATTCTAGATGGAACAACTTTGTTTCGCTTAACTTTTGATTTTGCCTTTTGCTGATATAAATGATTAAACAGAGTCCTTTTTTCATAGAAAAAAGGGTCTTTCATACATGAATGACATCCACTCACAACTAATTACTTCCGCAAAGAAAACAGCACAAACTTACACGAATATTTGATCAATTTCGACATATTTTATGTACGAAAGAAGAAACCAAAATCACTAGAACACATAGCTTTATACAAATTTGTGTTGCTCTAACGTATATACTTGATGTTCCACAAGTAATCTCCTCGTTCACAATTTCAAAACTTCAACAATCACAAGTTATCTTCGGACAATTAACTTAACTTACTAACCGTATACCGAACAATAAACAAACAACTGGTTTTAATTGACAAAGCAAAAACCTGTCGGATTTCGACACAGTAAATTGAAGAGTATGATCTGACGATCTTTCTTTTGACGCAAGAATGATATCCTTTCATTTCATTGTAATTGCTAGCTTCCAGCGAAATTGCGCTATTTCTAATGATCGGTTCTTCATTCTTGGAGAGTTTGATGGAACTTAACGGTGGAAAATCGCAGACATTTATAGATGCCCAACAAACGAAACGCGCATTAGCGAACCACAAGTCTATTATGAAAGATACTGAGAACGAAATTTCTGCAAAACCAATTTTTTCTTAAAATTGAACACTTGTCTCTTTGTCCTCGAACCCATGGCAGGTTTGATATGGGGCATTCTTTCAAAAGTGGGATTACTGCGAACGTGAAAATTTTTCAGGGATTCTCGCCTTTGAGATCCGGTGATCAGGAACATGGGTCGACACTTGACTTAGCAGGTAGCTTTTCTTATTGTTTATGTAAACATAACTCGAAGGTCAATTTTACGAGAACACGTTGCTTTATCCTTACAACTGGTTTCTAAATCAACAAGGTATATTTCAAATAAAAAAAAAACAGCCGATCTAGATCAAAAGGCTACTAAACTTTTTTTGCTTTCGAAACCGGTTTTAAACTCGAGTATTAAATTATTTAGAAATACCTGTCTTCGAGGCGTGAACCGTGAGTCTTCTCGCTTTTTGAACTTTAAACAGAGACAAACGGAAATTATATTCCCATTAGCAATTACAGGCGAACCATTTCCCTTATACTAAAAAATCAAACTTTGACGGGTTATCGTCAATATGTTAGACTGAATTTTGTTTCGAAGACCCAGAAAGACGCTATGGAATTCGTAAATTCGTAAGATTTAGAGTGTAAAGTACACAATTGCAAGTGAGACGAGCGTAAAATAAATGTTCACTTCAGAGTAGTCACAGAAAGGTTCCAGTTCTTTATTGATGGAATTTTTGGTCCTCTTTTGATTATCAGATAAATGATAATTGAGGAAAAGATTGTGTAGATGAAAATAATTAACTAGTGAGAGTGGTTATTGACACAAGTGGCCGAGAACAGTGTTCATTTTCAGCAATTCATACAAACGTTAATTAAGTTAACAAAACTAAAATGTTGGTGAACTATCACGACAGTTTTGTTTGGCAAAATTCTCCCTCTTTAATAAAAGCTTGGAGAAGGTAACTCACTCAGGTCTCCGAACTGTTAGAGGGACGAATTTAACAAACGATTCAATACCATTTTACTATGAGCGTAGAGGTTTCCACCAGAAGTAAGATTAATACAAACACAAGCAAAACATTTCAAAAGGATTACCTTGTAACAGGCCGACTGACAAGATGATAAACCAGATGCGTTTGATACGCGAGATTCTAACGCTCCGGACATCTCCAGAATTCCCCACTCTTATGCACATTGAAAATCGACCATTCGACAAGACGGGACTTTCCAATTTACCATGGATGCAAATCAATGTGTTATCGCTCCCCGCCACCAAAACTTTTACAAATCCTTATGGCCACAGCTGAGATAAATTAATCAATCATGGTACAAGCACTCCAAATCTGTTAAATCTCGCATCAGGGTCCAAGTTTGAAAATCGCCGCGGAAATAGGAACAAAATAACGATTGCTGAGAGTTCCGTGTACCAACTACAATTGGAACCCATCTACAGGCCTGCTTGACAAGCATTTCCATGACATCACACGGCGAGAATTCTGGCAGTTTCAAACAATTACGTCATTGTGGCGAAATTCGCGGGCTTGTCGGCGCTTAAACGAAAAACATTCACACTTTGTAGCTCTAATAGCAACATTCAAGATGGAAGTGGACCAAACCGAAGGCGGATGTGTCGCAATTCGGCTCACAGAATGGAACGGATTCATATCTATGGCGTGGACAGATTAGTCACATTTCATAACGTAGATGGAAATTAAACTGACAGGGAAGATGTTGAAAGACATTTGATGGCACTGAACCGTTAAAAAAGATAACTTTTGAATAGTGTAACAGGTGGAATATTCAGTAGGGCTCATCTGGTAAGCTGCGTGAAAAATATGCATCTTTTTTTCTATTAATTGACCTAAATCATCCCTTTCTATTTTGTCGTCACGAAATTTCGTGTCTTAAATTTACCACTTTTTCTGGTTTGCCGTAACATCAGGTGACTTTATCCAAATCTTTACCAAGTAATTTGGAAAAGTTCCTTGGAAATCGTATGACGTTCGTCACTGCACGTCAAAAGTGACCATTCATATTGCTTCTACGCCATGTTAAGTTGTTTTATCCCACTGTGTGCATGTGTCACTGATATCTGTCAGGCGTGGTTTGAAGGCGCTGGAAACGAGTTTAACAATGAAGTAATACCCCTGAAATTGATGACTCAATATGATGACACGGTGTCATAAAGCGCCTTGCCACTGACACCCTCTTGTTTGCACTCGGCTATATCTAATAACATTGACATCATATGAACTTCAAAGTCTACGGGAGGTCAAGTAGATCGTATTAGAAAGACATCTAGACAGGTGCTTTCAACGACGGATGACCAAAAAAAATTTTTCCGTTAACTTCTTTTTTCACAGTTTATTTAGGTTAAACCGAATAAGTCATTAACGTAATAAAAACTCATACAAACGTACTTTTTACAATGAAACCTAAAGTAACATTCATTATACAATGCACTCGAATAAAACTTTGCTCTCTGTCTGAGGACACTCTCGACCCTTCTTGAATCTATATACCTTATGACTGAGTATCTTGAGTGAATTTGATTCGCAGACACTTTCGAAATAATTCCACCAATTTAACTTAATCAAATTGCACTCTGAAATATCATGATATTTCCTAAAACCCCCAAAAACCTTGTTTCAATTTCGATAGTTTGCTGGTGTCTGATTAAAATTAAAAAAACAAACAAAAAGATGATATAAATTTAAATATATTACGAAAAGAACGAAAAACACGGAGCTAAAATCTAAATATTTCCGTGATAATTTTAGTTTTTTAGGATAACAATTTGAATAGCATTATTGTATTTGACGCTTTAAATGGAACTGAACTTCCCCAAGCCAATCAGTTTGTTACGAGCGGGTAAGTAGATCGTCTACACCTGTTTTCATGTGAGACGTCATGCAGAGTCACTGAAAAATTCATTTTCTGACCATTTGAATAACACAGTGGAAGAAATAATAAGAGCTTTATTTAAATAAATCAGAAAAAAATCAGGGAACGTACAGCGTCTACAAATCTACTACTGGACCCCACCTCTTCATACCAATCGACATAGACCATGCAATATCAAGTATCTGTTTAATGCTGTTTGAACGCAACTGGGCAACCAAAACTGACCCTTGATTTTTACGACCATGTCCGTGACTCGTTGCCATGTCCGTGACTCGTTATTTTTTGGAAGTGAGCGCGAGGTGATACGGGGGCCGCCTTCCCGTCGTCCCCTTTGTTGCGTCGTTGCTTGCCACACTCTGACTTGTCTCCAAACCTCTCGGCTTTTTCAAGTTCGGTGGATGTAACGAAAAAAGTGTAATTCCAGCACTCGAAGAACTCTTAAAAGAAAGACTGCGGAAAACTATTGATACAAAATGATTTGTTTCTAAAGCAATTTTTGAGCCGGTATCAAGTGATGCACTTACGATTTCCTTCATGAAGATTTCTGGCTAGCAATATATTCGAGGCAATCCTGCATTGTGTTTTCGACCTTGGTAAAAAAACATATTTAAATTGGTTCTGAACTAAGTGGATATAACCGTGACTTTCTTAAAAACTTTGTGAAAAGATGAATCCTGAATCTCTGAGTCGATATCGTTTTAGAATTTTTTTTCTGTACTAGAGTCACGGGAGAGGACTAATGACCAGGATTACAACCAAAGAAGCGTTAAAGCCACGATTCATTACAGAATTGGCATTTAAATCTCTCAAAATTATCTCGAGCCGCCGGTGACGACTTAAAAAAACCTCAGCAACACGCATGCGCATATGAGTGCCAATTACTATGCAAGTCAACACGACGGTAAGGAACGTGCCACAAGTCAACCACGTGAGTTATAATTAGTTCGACATGTAACGGAATACAGACTCTTGATTAATTCAAACAATCCTTTTACTGTCTGAAGTTTTTAGATGTAGCTTTTTTAGACTTATGGCAGAGTAAGGAGCGGTGATGCGAAGACAAATACATATTTTTGCACTCGGAAAAGGCTTGAAAGCCCTCACGGTTGGGTAGCCCCCACAAAGATTATGTTAATTCATAATCAAAAGTCACCGGTCGTCAACTTTAACACAAAGACCGGGACAAATTTCGATAAACTTTGAATAAATGTCCGACAAACGAAGCTGAGGAATTAGGAATTTTTCTTTTACTAAGAGTCCAGCCATGTCACATGTTTTCCAAATTGTGACTGGAATCATAACAGGAAATATAGCGAGCGTGCGGGACATCAGTTTTTGTGACGAAACAACTGACCTGAAATTGACCTTCTGACCATGAAACGTTTAAATTGTCATGTATAAACTGAGGTGTAAATCAATAAACAGAGGGCCAGCCGGGCTATAACTTCAGAACAAGAGAGAGAACCATAGAAGAAGTGACGAAGGCATTTTGTTTCGTACAGAGGACAGTGAAAGAAGCAAGCTTATTACTCCGGTAAGTGAACGTTTTCGGTATACAGACGACTCATGTTTACTTTTGCAGCTCAAATTTTTAGTCAGTGCTGACAAAACCCCTTTTTCTATCTCCCTGGCGACGTTTTCGGACCATGGAACGCAAGCCTGATTTAATCATAGGTATCTGATATAAAATGAATCGTTTCAGCCGGATTTCGAATCCGAAAGTTAACAAAGAAAAGTTTAGTGAAATTTTGCCCTGATATTTTATATTTTTGGAAAATAACCTAGTTAATACCAATATTTAGAGTGACATAACAAGGTTACATTTCTTAAACTGTATTCAAAGTTATGCGAGCGACAGAGATCAGCGCCCCTTTAGAATTTTGTGGACAAAGTTTCTTTTGATCAAATGACTTAAATGATCACAGGCAAAAACATTTACTGATAAATCTGATCTCAAAAAGGTGGCCTTTTCGGAGAGAGATATATGCAAAATTCGTAAAGAACTTAAAGCTGTCAAAAACTGTTCATCGAGTGAAGCTAGTTTCCCCTTTTCAGACGAGCCTTTTCCCTCCTACAGTGATTAAAGTTCAAGTACTTCTGTTGACAATTCCACTACATAATCCTTTTAACTCGTAACGAGATGAATAACTCATCAGTCGGAGGGCGTTATCTTGATGTAACACCGAATATTGTTTTACTGTTTACAAGGAATCGAGCGAGTCCTAAGAACTAATTATTCTTGCCCCTCACAGAGACATATAGTTTTCATGATAACTGTTACGCAGTTCGTTACGTACATAAATTCAGGGTAAACATATTCAAGATTTGTTCAATGTCATACATCGGGTTACTTCTGCTCTCGTAAATTTAGTTAGAGAATCCCTGTTTCATTTTTCATTTGCTGCTGTTGTTGTTGTTGTATCAATTCGGAACAATATTATCATCAAAAGCTGCGCTTGACATGACTCCGTTAACTTTATTTCTTACCATTCGTTCAAATCAAAGTGGAATGTGCCTTCATCTCAGAGTTGTAAAGAAAAGAGGAAGAAGACGAAGGTTTTTTTTTTTATCAGTAGAAGCCTTAACCGATACGTTAGCAGCATGCGTGCAATAATCTGTTATTCCTAAGGACACTTCATCTCAGTTCCTTTTTGATTTATGTTGAAATGACCGACCAAACTACTTGAAATATTTTTGCAGGTTTGCATGTGGTTCAGAGTCCAACTTAAGAGAAACAGCATCATGATCCAAAAAAAAAAAAAAAAAAAAGATACTTCCTTTACTTTTCCCACCAATTGCCCGTGGCAATTTCAATACTATCTGCGTGCAAAAACAGCGAGAACCACAAATAAAACTTTAACTTTCCATCATAGGTAGAGATTTTTAAAATCGCCTATCCAAAATGACCGACTTGGAGTCAGACTCAGTCTCTACCAGCCGAACTGGATGTTTCGGCCAGATTAAAGACGGAATCACAAAAGCACTCTCGGCAGCTGGTGATCGTGCAACCATCCCTGGAATTATTACCAACAACAAGATCACTCTAAAGAACATGGTCATTTCCTTAGCAGTACTGGGGCTCGAAGTTCTGCTTCACTCCGAGGTCTTTGACTGCCCCGTAAAGAATCATAAAATCTATGCCCTCTCCTGGTTGTGTGCCCCACCAGCTATCATTTTCTTTGTCAACCTGCTTATCATTGGAGACATCTGGAAACTTTCCGATCATTGTCTGGTACGCGACTATTTTCAATTTGGCTACTTCTGTGGCCACACTATTCCCAGCATTGTCAAAGCGATGGCAGGAGCGTCTGTATGGTTGATCTTGGCATTTTATAGAAAGGATTATTACGTGTGCGCCCAGGTAGGACCAGATATCCGCGAGAGAAACGAAACTGATCCAGATAAGCTCAAAGAATACGATATGACCGTAGAGACGGCTGGGGCCGAATCTCAAATTTTCGCCTGGGCAGTTTTCGTGGTCATGGTTTTCTCCGCTTCTGTAGTGGTCATTAGCAAGAATTGTTGTCTTAAGGACCAAGACATCCTAGACGGTAACGCAATTTCCATTTTTATTCTTAATTTACAAAAAGTGTTGTACAATAGCAATACTAAAAGCCCGCTCTTAGAACCGCGCAATCTGACTGACGACGAGGCACTTGTAGTACTCGATTACGCATCCTTGCTGAAAATTATGTAACAGAGCCATGACTGAATATTTCTTGTATTGTGCTCTTATGGTGTCGAGGGGATCTGGCGAAGGATTACGCTGGAAGCATGCATTTTTGATCAAACTCGTTTGTTTTAAATAAAATGGCGTGGCGTTCCGTAGACACGTTTTAGCTAATCTTAAAAACTTGAGGACAGTCTCTCTCTAATTTTCGTAATATACCAAAGTGTTCTCTGTGGCTTGTCTGTGTTTTTAATATAGAGTGTCTACCGTAACTGCAGCATCTATTCAAGTCATCTGAGTTTACGCTTACTCATGTATATCTTTTCTTAGACATACGCATATTTGAGGAACGGGAGGCGAAGTGGGCTAAGAGGACCTTTACTAAGCTCGCTAAGGGTTTGCGCGATAAAGAAATAACAAATGAAAACGAAACTGCCAACCAGGAAAAGGAGGAAGGAAAAGAGGTAAAGATAATACTCTATGGCGGTGGAATTCCGGAAACATTGGGCGAAAAAAAGGTGATTGAAATGTTTAAAGGTTGGGAGGAAAAAAATCCAAATTGGCATTACCGTGATGCTTACGACCAATTCGAAAAGCTCTATCCTAGAGCTGCTAATGGCAAGCCTAGAAGTAGATGGAGCACAACACATCTATCCCAGCAATTTGCGAAAAATGCGCGCCCAGTGAACACTAATGAAGACACAAAGCTTCCATTCGAGCAAACAAGCAGAGGTACCACAACTTTGGAAGACACCAGGCCGCCAGTCGACCAAACAAGTGGAGGTAGCACAAGTTTGGAAATGCAGAAGATAACATCTACACGCAATGATGATATCACACAGGAACCCGCCGAAACAGCCAGACTTATCGAAAGCACTTAATCTAAGCTAATTCAAAAAGGTTTTATGTTATAAATAATGATCTTTTAACATAGCTTCGTAAACCACCATACAAACGCATATAACTAATTGCAAAGTAACGAAGTCAGTTCATGTCTCAGATATGATTACCATTGGTGAAACGTAGGTCTTTTATAAACAGCATAAGTCAGCCGGTTTAGATTAGTCACAGAAAATAAACTCCCACGCGTTTGCAAACAAACCTAGACAACAATGAAACTCAAACTATCTTGAGAATATTTGCTCACGAAAAAGAGAAAGAATGACTTACAATTTTTTAAATTTTTAAATTTTTAAATTTTTAATTTTTTCAAATGTTTTAAGCTAGAGGACCTAAGCCTATTGGTTATTGTTTTCACTGGAAGTACGATATTAAACAGTTTTCGTATTTTTGAGGTTTTCCTTTAACACACTTATCTTGTACGGGTTTTAAGACTTATGGTCAGGCAAGGAACAATGATACAGACGACAAAAAAAAAAAAAAAAGAAAAAACGATCGTTTCAAGGGCAGTGTTAAATGCGTTAGCCTCACGTAGATTTTATGTTAATTCATAAACACGCAAAAGTCATAGAACGACCCAGAACCATTATAATACAAACATGAACTGGTTCATTATATATAGGTGTTGACTTTCTGTTCAACAAACGAAGTTGAAGAATTGGGAACTTTTCTTTCATTAAAATCACAGTCAATTAACAGTTACCACACTTTTTTCAAACCGAGAATCAGAACAGAAAATATAGCGAACGTGCGAAACCTCAGCTCTTGTGACAAAACAAATGACCTGACCTTGGCCTTCCCACAGGATGAGACGTTTCAGTTGTCATTTGTATGCTACGCATGTAAGGACCAACATTAATCGAGCTCATCGAGTCGTAACCTTAGAATTAAAAAAATTGGTCTCCTACAGAAGAAAGTCATAGCTGTGAAGCTTTACAACCGGTACTGAAAGTGATCAGTACACACACGTGACTGCTTTCACGACGGAAAGAGCTCAAAGAACGATTTTAATGTGCGTTGCTGAGATTCGATTTATATCTCTGACCGACGACATTTTCGATCGTTGAGCGAAAGCCTGATTTAAATTTCATGGTTAACTAACATAAATCAAAACATTTCATCCAGCTTTCGAAACCTGAAAACTTACGACGTGACTTTTGGTGGATTGTTTTGAACGATATTACACGACATTCAGGCAAACATAAATATCATTTCATTGATTGCAGATGATACTTGCAATGCTCAGAATTTTAATCGGGCGAAGGACAGGGACCCTTTAGTGTCTTAGAATGCAGATCAAATTCTTTCCGCAGAGAATATTTTCTGGGCGAAATTCACATCATCCATCCTCACTATCATTCTGAGCTTTATGACAAATAGTTCATGATTGGTTACATGAAAATAATTTGAAAATGTGCCTGTAGCTATGAGACTCCGCTCGAGTCACGTTTGAATAATGATACAAATTTCAGCCGAGCAAGTCTTTTGTAGAACCTAGTTTTATTGATTGAATGTAAATGATCTTTACAAAATAAAAGACGCTTCGGTTTTGATCGGGCAGTTTCCACCGCACGGAAGCGATTAATAATATTTCCGTTTGTACTAATCATGCCTCAAGCATAAAAAACCACTGCTTTCACTTAATAACGCTTTCATTCCACTCAAGTTATATCTTACAAATTTGTTACTGAGTTTCAGGTGAGTACGTTCCTTTGTTTCTGAAGCACTCACAGGCTTCGTATGAGGTCATCTTTGAAACTAAACTTATTATCAAATGCTTCCATAATTAAGAATTATCTCTGACCCGTTTGTTGCTTTCGTACGAGCGGAATGCCTCTACTCAAAGCCAGAGGTGCTTCGAAAATCTCAGTCAAATTTTAGCGAGAAAACTCGTACACAAGGAAACTCGAGAAAATAAAAGTACCCTGGATATGCATATGATAATTGTGACGAAATAAGTACTTTCTCAACAGCGCTAAACGATATGTCTTCACTTATTTGACACCGGAAGGATGGGTTCAAATCTACCACTGTTTGTTTGGGATTAATTTAAAGTTGGTCTCTTTTAAAAGGATAGCGCTACTACGATTTTTCCGTTTTTAATTTTTCATTATTTCGTCTCTTTTGTTTCTTTTGGCGTTTTTCAGGGGAGAGGAGACAAGCATAAGTCAAGCGTACCGCTCGACCCCGTTCGTCTTGCGCTCGCCTCCGCTCGCCTCGCGTTCGCCTTTGCTCGCTGCGCGTTCGTTATCGCTCACATCCGCTCGCCTCGCATTCGCCTCCACTCGCCCCTCGATCGCCTTTTTTTTGCCTCACACTCACCTCCGCTCGCCATACAAAAGCAAAACGACAAATATAAAAATGAATAACGCCGTAGGAAGCATTTACTTCAATTTCCATCATAATTGCAGTTTCCATCGTCAATCTAACATGTCCGCTGCGGGGGCAGAGTCTGATAATGAGCCACACGTGATCGAACCGGCCCCGGATTCTGGGGGTCAAGATTCTGGGACCCAAGATTCAGGGACCCAAGGTTCTGGAGCTCAGGGTTCCCGCCGTGCATCTAAATATTTCAAAGTTATTAAAAACAGTTAGGCTGATAAAGAAACAACCATTCAAGGCATAATCACTAACAACAAGACCACTTTGACCAACCTGGTAATTTCACTTGTACTGCTTGGGCTTCAATTTCTACTGCGTGCCAAAGTTTTTGACTGCCCCTTAGAGAATCATCAGATATATGGCCGCTTCTGGTTGTACGGTCCAGCCACCACTATTTTCTTCCTCAACTTGTTAATCATCGGAGACATCTGGGAACTTTCCGACAGGTGTCTTGTGGCGGATTATTATCATTTTAGCTACTTCTGCGGGCGCACCTTCCCCAGCATAGTGAAGGCGCTAGTGAGGGCGTCTATATGGTTGTGCGTGGCGTTCTTGCGAAAAGATTGCTACGTTTGCGGCGAGGTAGGACTGGATATCCGCAAGAGAAACGTAACTTATCCAGACGAGCTCAAAAAGTACGACTTGGCAGTAGAGACCGCCGGGGCCCAATCACAAATTTTCGCCTGGGTAGTTTACCTGGTCATGGTTTTCCTCGCTACTGTGGTTATTATCAATAGGAATTGCATGCTCAAAGACCAAGATATCCTAGACGGTAACGCAAAATATTTGTTGTCTGAAGCAGCGCCAATAAGTTTAGCCGAAACTCTGAGCAAGAGAAGACGTTTGTTGACCGAAGACGAGAAGCGTATATAAAACGAACGAGCAGGCAAAAAAAGGGGAACAAAGGTGCCGCGCTAATTATGCGCCAACCGTGTGACAATGAGGCTAACTAAACAACAGCGTGCATACGAGGCAGAAAAATGAAGCAGACTAAACGACAGCGTGCACAATGCGTCACGCCATGCGAGCTAATGGCGGGAACTAAACAACAATGCGAAATATGGCGCAGGCTGATTTCATCAAGAGTCATGGTGCATATCACTGATCTGCTACTGGCAGAAACGGGCACTATGATTTGCGACGAGGCACCTGTACTATTCGACAAAACTGCATGAGTATATATGTGAGATTACGGAAAGTATGGATCGTATTAAACTGAGCCATTTTTTTTTTTCATTTCGATATACTTCTTTAGAGTAATGCGTGAGTCAGACCATGTGATGAACTTGATCACATACAATGATCGATAACCATAATCACGTGACGGTGGTCAAGGGTGTGCTAACCAATAGAACACAGCTGAGGTAATTATCCAAATAGGAACAAACATTACAGTTTATCTGCATTTTTTCGCTTTTTGCTGATATCTTAAGTTTGAGGACCGTCTCTTAAAGACTTTTCAGATATACCTTGGCTTCTGTTTTGTTTTTGTTTTTATTTGTTGTTGTTGTGGATATCTTTTTATTGTAAGTGTCAGCAGTTGATATACATTCTACCGAAACTATTGGTATCTTTCTAAGTAATCTAAACGTGCGTTTATGATTATTATTTTCTAGACATATGCATCTTTGAAGAACGAGAGGCGAAATGGGCCAAGAAAATTTTTACTAAGTTCACTTAGGGTTTTCGCCCTGAAAAAGATCCTAAGGAAAAGAGCACGAAAGACGACAAAAGCAAAAGAAACGACGACGACCAAGAGGTCAGCGATGCTAATGACAAGAGCGAAGAGGATGAACAGGAAGAAACTGTTGACCAGGAAAAAGACAAAGAGAAAGAGGTGAAGCTTACATTCTATGACAACGGAATTCCGGAGAAATGTGCCGAAAAAATGGTCGCTGAGATGTTCAAAGACTGGATGGAACAAAAACCAAACTGGCATTACCGTGATGCTTACGACAATTTCGTTAAGCTCTATCCCAGGGCTGCCACTGGCAATCCTGGAAAAAGGCGGAGCACGACACATTTATCCGCGCGATTTGCGAAAGGAAGCAATGAAAATTCCAGGTTGCCTTTCCATGGGATCCACCATTCAGATTACAGAAGCACAAGGTTTGAAATGGAGAATTTGACAGACCAAAGTGGCAAAGCTAACATCTCAAAGGAAGAGCACAAGGAAACCACAAGTTTAATCGTAACTAGTTAATTTGGGCTGAGATTTTCTTTTTTTAGAATGCGGGAACTGAAGAACGACCTCTCCTTGAAACATATTGTGGTCAAGTTAACGGAATCTGGGAACCGTAGTGTAACATGGTGGGGGCACTCACAAGCACAAAGCCTTTGCGAGTTAGATCGCTTTCGACTGCGTATCACTGAGGAAGGAGTTTTTCATGGAAACCGAATAAACTTCATCTCCACCATTAAAAAGTATATATGAAGCAATGACACTGTACTTATTTTATGCTTGAAATTTCACCTTCGCGGTTGTCCATCGGAATTCAATTCGCTGGTTTCACTAAAATCCTAGCAAACTATACATCAGAAGAAAGCTTAATAACTGCAGTTTACGATAAATATATAATTTAAGCGACTTTTCCTTTATGGAAGTGTCGGGAGCCGGTAAGGCGTGAAAAGACCGAAGGTTCTTCTATTGAATTTATTGGGTATCGGATGCCGCAGCACGAGCAAAATGGCTGCACAATCTTATTCACCAGGCATCAATCAACGAATGTGTGTCAAGCTTTCTCGATATTCTGATTGGTTGTCTAGATATCGGCATCTAAAGTTGGAGTAGCTGACAAATATGTGAGGCGTGTTGCGTAAATGGACGCCACGGGACAAATATTTCAAATATTAAAATTTCGCGACACACTTTCGTTTGTCATTATTCCTGGAATGTTTTGGCGAAATTCGACGAAAATCAGTCAAATATAAATACCCTATGAATTCGTTCAAAGCGGTTGTAATCCTTCCAAAATCGAATGCGAGATTTTAGCTCATAGAGGTTCGCAAACAACTCCCGCCAAGCCAGGAGATTGTCTCGCCTCCTGAAACCGCAAATCAATGGGGCAACGCGTTAATGTCGATGGTCAAGATTTCCCGGGGAAAGTAACCCATGGTAGACACTTTTTTTTTTTTTATCTCGATCGCTCACAGGCGGCCCAAACTTCAGCTGTGAGATGATAATCTCGCGCAATAACAGTCATGGCGGAATTATAAGATTTTGTATGGAAATATTTACGACCGCTCTAAGGAATAAAAAAAACGTCAAATTCTCAATAAAAAATACCTTACCTTACTTACACAGCGTATCACTTGTTATCTGACCGCATACTTTGATGAAAAGAACCCACTTTAGGGAGTTGTCCATTTCGAGGTTTTCTACGTACACAAAAAAAGCCCAAGGCTGAACACTCCATTTCCGAACACCCGATCCGAAAAGCGAAAAATCCCAGCGCAAAATGACCGGGCGGCCACAAATCCAACTCAGAATTCAAGCACATATACTGTAGTTTCATTTCAATTCACTATAAACTCAATCTTCCCCGTGCAACCGACGCTAAGCCGCAGTTTACTTAAAAAAAACTTCCAGTTTAGAAGTTTCTAACAGCCCGCTTACACATCAACCTTGACACACGACCGTTGAAAACCAGCTTGGTAACCATACCTCCTTTTTGAACTAAGCTTTACCGGGGACCACACCATCACTTATTATCAATAAATTGATTTAGAACCACGGGTCCCCTCAGGTCGAATCGACCAAGAGGCTATTGTTTCAATCGGCCGATCGAATTCGTCTCAGGAAGTGTTTACAAATTCAAAATAATTTTCAAGTATATGTGCTTGGATTCTGCATTGGATTTGCGGCCGCCCGGTCATTTTGCGCTGGGATTTTTCGCTTCTCGGATCGGGCGTTCGGAAATGGAGAGTTCAGCCTTGGGCTTTGGGCTTGGGGCCTGTTTTTTCATTATCTCTTTTTTTCTTTTTACCAAAGACTTTCTTCCACTTTTGATTTTTCCATGAGAAAAGAGCGTCCACGTAAAGTGCGCGATGTAAACAAAATATGGAAATAACATGCATAAAAACGAGCCCCAAGATGAGCGGTTGCCGCGAGATTCTCCCAGGTCCGAGATTATGACACTTCCTGATTTATTGACTTTTATTTGAAAATACGTTTTCCTAAATAATTCGGATGCTTTGAAAGATTTCATAAAATTTTTTTATGGAAACGTTAGGTTGAGTGTTTGAATTCATTTCAGTCAAATAAAAGAAAAATCGATTTTTTTCGGCCTTTGAAGGTGGGAAGTAACCTTAACCTTTTTGAAATTATCCTGCGATGAGATATCAATTCGAACTCGCAGCGAGCACTTTGAACAATAACTCCTTAAGAAGGTTTATACAATATTTGTACTATATTGCAATCACTTAAAAAGATAGAATGAAAACACAAAGAAATTAAATTCTGTTTGTAAAATTCATAATTTCTTTAGCAATTGGGTTTCTGAGGAAACGAACTAAAAGCAAAATATGTGAACGCTTAATCAACTAAAATGTTTACTCTACCATTTTCTATGAGCTGAAATGTTTTATTTTAAGTTGACTCTGAAGTTATCATATAACGAATGATGATCATTGCTGTACGCTGAGGCATTAGACGGGTTCTGGATAAAACTCACTGCAAACTGACACCTGTTTTTATTCAATTTATTCTCATCATTTTAAGTTTTTTTCTAATTCCTTAATTGTGCAAAGGAAAATTGGTATATGTGTGCTAATCACCAAAGATGCATTTTAAGTTTATTTCCGCTGTTGTACGGAAAATCAATTCTTGCACTTTTCGATTGTAACAATTACGAATTGTCCCTTTTGAAAAATTTTTTTTCACACTTGGTAAAAAATCAACGCCGAGTTCTAACAATAGTAGTTGATAATAAATGCACCAATAGCAGTTAGGATATGGCGCCATCCTATTGGCTGAAAAGCTGAAAATCAATAATTGCATATAATCGTGGCTTTCAGCAATTGTTCAGATAATCAGCACAGCCGTCTTCAGTTAAACAGCGACACCACGACACAAGTCAAAGAGAAGCCTGAGTGCTTTTACATCAGTCAAGATCCTGATAAGTACGTTTTGTCTATCTGCTGTAACACCCTTACTCTCTTGGGTCAGTGCTCAATTTAGGCCCAGTTCAGACGCCGTACTTCAGCCGAGCTGAATCAAATTCAACGAATAGTCCATATTACAGTTGCGGGCTCGATTGCCAAGCCCTTGAACAGGAGTGAGGTTTGACCTTGTTATGATACAAACGTTGCTGCTTTTCATACGTAAATGACTTTGTTATCATGCTAACGAGATACTGGTCTCTATCACAACATGGTCACCTTCAGCCTCACTCCAAATCAAAGGCTTGGCAAGTAAGTACACAACTGTAAAATGGCCCACTAAGTTCATGTGAGGTACGGCGTCTGAATCAATTCGGAACGGCTGATTTCATCTAGATCGGCTCAGTCAATTAATCCCGCCTGGCTCAGCCGGGAAGAACGGCTGTAGGCCGGCTTTGATTCAGACACCGTACTTCAACTGAGCCAAACCAAATGCATAAATTATTTTAATGTATTTTTCATGCTGGTTTTACTCGGAGCATGCGCAAAGTAATGTTTTGCAGGAGAATAATGGCGGCTTGGTGGGCAAACTAAACGATGGTGACATCTGATGTTCGTGTTTCGGTTGTATTGACGCGTCGCTACCACTCGGTGATGCATGACCAATAGGAGACTGAGTGCACATACGGTTATCATTTGTCTTCTTCTGGCGGCTAAGACGGTTTGCATTCTTCTTCTTCTTCTTCTTCTTGCACTGTTTTCTAACATTTTGAGCAGAAGAAAGGCTCTTGCTCGCAGATTGCTGCCGAAATCCATGGTGTCTGCCATGTTTACAACAGTATGCTAAACCAATGATTGAATATTAATTTTCTTCGATTAATTAATTTCGGCCGTATAAAGTTGGGCGTTCGAATGAATTCAGCCAGGATGAACTAATTTGGGTCGGCCTATCATTGAATTCCATTCGTCGCGGCTGAAGTACGGCGTCTAAACCGGGCCTTAGGCCGTTTATTTTGATTTATGATTTTACAAATACGTAAAAGTTGTACATACTCTTCAAACAAAACAGCTATTCAACTTTCCTTCAAGTAGAGTGAAACCTTCTTTGAAAAAAAAAGCGCTCTTTTTATTACATTGCAAGGAAAGAAGAGCTGAATACAGTCAAACCTGTATAAAGCGGCACCGTTTTAAGCGGTCACCCTGTATTGAGCGGTCGGTTGTCAAAGTCCTGAAATTGTTTCCCTTTAATCACTAATTTTCACCTCTATTAAGCGGTCGCAGTTACCCTTAACTGGCTGCCAACCGCCTGTTTGTACTGTCTTCCATCTGCATCGAACGCTCACTTAGATCAGAACCACTCAAATAAAACAAAGAATTTTTTCATATTACCCCTATTCTGTGAAACCTGTATTAAGCGATCCTGTAGTAGTAAAAGTAACTTAAAGTCACGAGAGTCTTTAGAAACCGCAAAGAGGAAAACAGATAAATACAAAGACTTAAGAAATAAAACGAAAGGGATACTGTAGTTAAGTGTTTCATTTATTGATTTTAAGACCTCTCGACTTGAAGTCCACGCGGTTTGGTAATATGACACTTTTGATGCATTCAAAAGACATGAATTAACACTTGATGTGTGTTCTTTTCAGTATCTTTCAGCTATGTCAGTTGGGGTAGAGGTGCGCAAATGCATACAATTCTTAGGCAAAAATGTGAAAACTCTGTCGAACCTTGGACTCTCTGGAAGCGTTGTGGCAATAAACGTGAAAATCAAATCGGAACTTTTCGACTGCCCTGTGGAAAATTATCAACTGTACGGGTACGTGTACCTTATTGCACCCTGCATCATACTTTATTTCGTTAATCTATTGGTGGTGGTGAATAAGCTGAATCCTCATGGCTTCCTGCAAACTATAAAAGAAAAGCTGCAAAAGGAAACGAAATTCGCCGTATTCTGCGATGTGATCTTACCCAGCGTTTCAAGGGCTTTCGCAGCACCTCTGGCATGGCTGATAATATCATTTGCCCAAGGGGACTACTATATCTGCGCTACAATCGGGCCTGGTCCTGAGAAGCGATACAATTTGAATGAAGATGAAAAACAAGAATTGACCCTCAGGATCGCCGAAAGCAAAAGCACATCACAGATCGTCGCGTGGTTTCTGCTCGGCGTGGCGGTTTTGTGGATCTTCAAAGTAAAAGCTCTGAAGACCGAGGATGAAGGTGAATTGACTCAAATGAAGAGTTTCCTTCTTTTGTTTTAACTTCTTATTATGATTACGTAACTAATTTAAATCACCTCTTAAAACCTCTAAAAAAAATTGTTTCTGTTCAGCCTCTCTTTTCCAATCATCAGCACTGAAGACCTCATAGTCCCAGAAATAATCAATAGTGACAAGTTACAGTAAAATAATGATGATAATAATAATAATAACAACAACAACAATAATAATAATAATAATAATAATAATAATAAAGATTATGAAGATGAACAATGGAAATTCAATTTCAGACCTCAATTTCCATTTAAAATCACAGAACAGAATCAACTATTTACACAGAATGAAACGGCGAAAAAAAGCGAAAAGATGGTGTCTGCGCGGCTGTGACAGTTGGAATTCTTTAGGGAGCTTTATGAATTAGGTTTCAACAAGTCTTATTTCTACAATCGTCCAAAGCTACGTGCGACAGCAAGGGCCAGTTATTTAGACAGTTTAGCCGTTTTTTTTTTTTTTTTTAACAGAACCGCACTCTAAACTATCTTGAATTTAGCTGAATTTTTAATTTAGTGAAAACAACTTTCTTATTTGGAGAATACGATACGCCCACAGCTTGCGTGAAACCGAGGTTTGGGTTGGACCTCGAGTAAATAACCGGCCCTAAGAGTTCTCATCCTCTCATTTTCTCTCCTTTGCCAGATGAGGACGTGGACATCAACGTAGACGATCAAGTACCATTATTAAGAGATGGTAAATAATTTCAAGGTGGCGTTAATTTTTACGAGACCTAGAAGAAGAGACTAAGATGTCAATTATGGTTAAAACCGGCAAACTTACCAATGAAAGAATTATTTGAAAAATTAGTTTTTTACTAAGCAAGGTGATAGGGTAAAAATTCACTTTTTAAAGCAGAAATCCAAACAACCACTAACAGTAACAAAAGTACTTCACTATTTCTTTTTGGTCTTTTTACCACCTGCACCTAATTACGTAGCTAATTACGTAACTAATCTAAATCACCTCTTAAAACCTCTCAAAAAAATTGTTTCTGTTCAGCCTCTCTCTCAGATCTCGTGTAAATAACTGGCCCCAAGTGTTCTCATCCTTGTATTTTCTCTCCTTTGCCAGATGAGGACGTGGACATCAAAGAGGACGCAGAAGATCAAGAACCATTATTAAGAGATGGTAAATAATTTCAAGGTGGCGTTAATTTTTACGAGACCTCGAAGAAGAGACTAAGATGTCAGTTATAGTTAGAACCAGCAAACATTACCAAAGCAATACTTGAAAAACAGTTTTTTACTAAGCAAGGTGATAGGGTAACAATTCACTTTCATACGCAGAAATCCAAACAACTACTAACAGTAACAAAAGTACTTCACTATTTCTTTTTGGCCGTTTTACCACCTGCACCTCCAAAGAAACTTGATATCGACTTCATGCCTTTTTTGTCCACCTTGGATAGTGACTTTTGAGCTGCTGTTAACTTCGTGACAGTATGCAGTTAACAATAAGAGTAATAATAATAATTATAACATTGATAATAATCACAGTCATAACAATGATGATGATGATGATGATGACGATGATAAAAATAATAGTAGATAAGTTAATATAATAACTTATCAATACAATTTCAAAAATCTCCAAAATTTTGACTGGTCTTTATTATACCAGTGCACCATACTGGAAACATTACATACGTGATTTTCAATAACATTACATGGGCAGTGGAAATCTTCACAAAAATAGCAAGATCCCATGATCCATAATTTCATGTGACCAGCTAAAGCAATTCCCTTAATTTTTGTTGGATGAGAAGTGAAAAGAATTCTGCATTTGACATCTCCATTCCCCCCACAAAGTGCTTGAAAACTTGTTCCTTTACCAAAAAAAAAAGGAATTGATATTGGATGCTTAATTAGCCATTCAAAACTCAGGATATACTCCATTTTAACTTACTGCTTGTTAGTGCAAATGATTAAATATGAAGATTATGAAACACAATCATTATCAAAGAAAAAGGCATCTGCCTTCTGTGTTGCACCCTCCTAAAGCAAACAGTTTGCATTCGAATCAAAACATTCACTTCTGTCTCATTGACTCAAAGGTATTACTCTGAGAACAAAGGGGGCAAGTTTCTATGGAAACTGTGGTGCTGCGTCAGTGGGAGAGTATAACAAGGCAATATACTATTGTCAACAAAGTCGATAACGAAAATTAGCCACTGTAAAGAGTTTTAAAGCTTTGAAACACAGCTTTGAAACTCTTACCGTGGCCAATTTGTTATTCTGATATGATATACTCTGAGAACACTTCTTTCTCCCTTAAACTTCCAGATCAAATTTGTAATTCTCTTCGCTGTTAAATATACAATTCTTAAAATGTTAGTTCAGAGACTTTAGTACTGGATCAACTCATTATCCCCAAATTGATGTTTTTCTTCATTCTAATCACTTATCTGGTTGATATTGTATTAATATTGTAAGGAGAAATTCTGTCTTGGTCACTCATGGGAGTTAAAGGGTTAAGTGGGAGACGCGGTGGCCTGGTATACTAGGGGAAAAATACGACGAAATACTGGGGGGGGGGGGGGGGGTTAACCATGCAATGGACTAGCGCCCAATCCACGGAGGGAGAAGTGATACTCCTTGTTGCTTCATGCTAAGGAAACTGAGATAAGCGCTGGCTAGGTGGACCACTTGACTACAGAGTTTTTGACACATCAAAGCTTCCGACATTCAGACTAATATTGCAAGTACATGGAACAAGACCTCTTGTTTCGGATGACAGACATTTTGACATATCAAGTGGTAGAAACGGGCACTGTGATTTTCCACGATGCACCTGTACTATTCGATAAAACTGCTTGAGGATAAAAGTATGGAACGTAAAAACTGAGACATCATTTCTTTATTTGCTGGTGTTGGGGAGATCGGACATAGGGTCGTGCGACACGAAAAAATCAACCTCGATAGGGCATTGGTGATCAGGCCCCGGTTGTTCAAAGGTTGGATAACGCTATCCACTGGATAAATCGCTATCCGTTGGTTAGCGCAGTACATTTTCTTAACAGTTATTCGCTAGATAGTGATTTATCCGTCGGATGGCGTTATTCACTCTTTGAACTACTGGGTCCAGAATATTTGTTTCTTCTTAAATGGTTTACGTTTATGTTGTGTATTAGGGTTCGATATACTACTCTCGAGTAATGCGTGAATCAGACCATGTGCTCTACACAACTGCTTTAGAATACGATGAACTTGATCACATACAATGATAGATAACCATAATCCCTCGACTGCGGCCAAGTGGTCAGCGATGCTAATGACAAGAACGAAGAGGATAATCAGGAAGAAACTGTTGACCAGGAAAAAGACAAAGAGAAAGAGGTGAAGATTACACTCTATGACAACGGAATTCCGGAGAAATGTGCCGAAAAAATGGTCACTGAGATGTTCAAAGACTGAATGGAACAAAAACCAACCTGGCTTTACCGTGATGCTTACGACAATCCTGGAAAGGATGGAGCACGACATATTTATCCACGCTTTCGTTTGTCATTATTCCTGAAATGTTTAGGCGAAATTTGACGAAAATCGGTCAAATCTATTTACCCTATAAATTCTTTCAAAGGGGTTGTAATCCTTCCAAAATCAAATGTGAGATTTTAGCTCACAGAGGTTCGCAAACAACTCGCGTCACGCCAGGAGCCTCCTTAAACCGCAAACCAATGGGACAACGGGACCTGCTGGCGTCAATGACGATAGATCAAGATTTCCCGGGAAAAGTAACCCATTGCAGACACTTCTTTTTTTTAAACTCGATCGCTCAGTGGAGCGTTGAGGAGGACGACACAAAAATGAGCCAAGTTGCCAAAGGCAAAGGAAAACCGTGGCAAAAATGGAAAAACCGGAAAATGTGCTGAGGAGCAAGACAGCGAATTGACAGACAGCTTTCAGAATTACGATTCGAAGCGATTGTTAATGTTTTTGTATCAAGGCCAGTACTTGCATAAGGAAAAGGAAACCTCGTTTTTAACATTATGTAACATGGCAAAGACTGGTTTGACGACGACTTCTTTGTTCGAAATCTGGACGTCAACGTGGAGCTACGTCAGTACCAATCGCTATCACAACGCAATTTTTTTCTTTTCTTGACAGAATGGTACTCTTTCTTTCTTCTTTGGGCCTGTTTTTTTTTCCTTTTTCTTTTACCAAAGACTTTTGATTTTTCCATGAGCAAAGATTTTTCCTTGAGAAAAGAGCTTCCAAGTGCGCGAGGTAAACAAAATATGGAAATAACATGAAAAACGAACCCCAAGATGAGCGGTTGCTGCAACAACAACAACAACAACAGCATTTATTTAAACACGATAAAAAATTCAGCAAAAGCTGATGTGGTCGTGTACGGACAATAAAACTAAATTCCTAACTAAATCCAATAAAACTAAATTCCTAACTAATTATAAGAAGACTAATGTAAGATTTCTACATATTTTCAACAATAAAAATTCTACATAGTACATCATTATAACATACGTGGCTTAAAAATACACTTGAGTGACTTTTTAAAAGCGTCAACGTCTTGAATTGATCTCATTTGATTTTCCAGAGCGTTCCACCGAGTAATTGACTTGTATGAGCATGATTTCTTGACCATATCGGTCTTAGGTCTAGGTAACTTAAATGTCATTTTCCTCCTGAAGTCGTAGCTACTTACATACTTTTCAAAGTGACGGCTCATAGGACGTGGCAAAAGATTATAATAAGCCTGATGCGCTAAGATTAGTAATCGTTTCTCATACATAATCTCTAAGGTATTCCATTTTACTGTGGCAAGAACCTCCTTGCTTGGAGTACACCAATCCAAGTTAAATATTATTTTCGCCGCTCTAACATGTATAGATTCTAAGCTTGAGAAAAATACTCGACCACAAGAGCCCCAAACTAACATACCATATGTCACAGACGGCAGAATAACCCTAAAATAGAAATCAATTCTTGCCTGTATAGGAAGGAAATACAAGGATTTAAGTAAATTCAACTTCTGCGTATATGACTTAGCTAACTCCGATACATGATGATCCCATTTAAGAGCATTATCTATCTGAACACCTAGGCATCTTGCAGAAACAACCTCCCCGACAACATAATCACCTATCTTAATAGCTTGTTTTGGCCCAGTAAATTTTCCGCGTCCACCAAGCAATATATATTCCGTCTTGGTGGGATGTGGAGTGAGACAGTTCTCGCAACACCATGTATATAGCCTTGCTAGTACTTCATTCAACTTGGAGGCCACCAGATCGTAGGTCGGAGCTGAGACATAGACGGTGGTATCGTCTGCGTACTTGTGAAGCTGTGGGTCACCATCTATTCCCTCAGTGATATTGGGCAGATCATTACAGAAGATGGAAAACAGGGTAGGGCCCAGCACCGACCCTTGAGGTACACCAAAAGTAACTGGCATAGCTTGAGATTGACACCCATTAATCGTCGTTACTTGCGTTCTTCCAGAGAGGTAATCTCTTATCCAACACCACAAGTCCCCAGCGACACCAAGACTTTGAAGTTTTCGGAGCAGAATGGAGTGGGGAATTGCGTCAAACGCCTTACGAAAGTCTACAAAAACCACGCCTACAACATGTTTCTTGTCGATCGCTTGTCTCCAGTCATCCGTTATTTTCACTAACAACAGCTCGGTGGAATGACCTTTTTTATACGCCCACTGGTGAGGGTTCCCAAGTCCTTGTTCAGTGACATGCGTGGTAATAGTTGACGCCACCATAGACTCCATCAGTTTTCCTGGTACACTTAATAGCGAGATAGGCCTGTAATTTTGCTTAACGGTTTCATCGTCACTTTTATAGAGAGCTGAGATGTTTGCAGCCTTCCAAGTAGCCGGTACACTGTTGCAGGTGGCGCTTATTTGAAAAACAGACAATAAAGATGGAATAATTGAGTCACCGGCAAACTTTAAAAGTTTTGGAGCAACTCTGTCGGGCCCAGAGGCTTTATCGGCTCTCAACTTAGCCATCGAACTAACAATAACCTCCTGCGAGATTCTCCCAGGTCCGAGATTATGACACTTCCCTGATTTATTAACTTTTATTTGAAAGTACGTTTTCTAAGTAGCTTGGGTGCTTTTAAAGATTTAAGAACTTTTTTTCATGGAAACATTAGGTTGAGTGATTGAATTCAGTTTAGTGAAATAAAAGAAAAGTCGATTTTTTCGGCCTCTGAAGGTGGGAAGTGACCTTAACCTTTTTGAAATTATCCTGTGATGAAATATAAATTCGAACTCGCAGCGAGCACTTTGGACAATAACTCCTTGAGAAGGTTTATAATGCTTGTATAATATTGCAATCACATGTCATGAGAAAAGGGAAGGAAAACACAAAGCAATTAAATTCTCTTTGTAAAATTCATAATTGTCCTTGGCGATTGCGTTTCTGAGGAAACGAAACGAAAAGCAAAGAATGTGAACGCTTAATTAACTAAAATTTTTGGTTTACCATTTTCTTTGCGCTGAAATATTGATTTTTTTTAAGTTGACTCAGAAGTTATCATGTAATGAATGATGATTATTACTGTACGCCGAGGCATTAGACAGGTTCCAAATAAAAATCACTACAAACTGACACTTGGTTTTACTCAATTTTTTTCTTATCATTTTAAATTTTTTCTAATCCTTAATAAATTGTGCAAAGGAAAATCGGTATCTGTCTGCTAATCACCAAAGACGCATGTTAAGTTTACTTCCGCTGTTGTACGGAAAAATCAATTCTTGCACTTTTCGGTTCTAAAAATTTTAACAATTACGAATTGTCCCTTTTAAACGATTTTTATTTCACACTTGGTAAGAATTCAACGCCGAGTTCTATCAATAATAATTGACAATAGATGCACCAATAGCGGTTAATTAGGATATGGTGCCATCCTATTGGCTGAAAATCAATAGTTGCCAATGGTCTTGGCTCTCAGCAATTATTCAGATAATCGGCGCAGCTGTCTTTAGTGAAACAGCGACACCACGACACAAGTCAAAGAGAACTCTAAGTGCTTGTACATCGGTCAAGATCCTGATAAGTACGTTCAGTCTATCTGCTGTAACACACTCATTTTCTTGGGTAAGTACTCAATTCAGAGGGTCTCAAAGGGGTAAAGCCTATTACGGTTAACGGTTAAAATGTCGGCCATTCCACTGCTAACTGTTCACTTCCTTCAATGAGATTAAAAGACCCATTTACTTTTACGACTAAAGGTCAAAATTTGTCAATATTTTCGCACAAAGGTTAAATTTTTTGGCTGTTTTACGGCTAGCGGTTAACCCCATTAAGACCTTCAATTTACAAACACATTTTATCTCGGAGAACAAAAAGTTGTGATCCAATTTTACGCCTTTGCAACAGTGCTGAACAATGTTACTGAAACAAAAGCGACTTCTTTTCTCTAATATTTCAACTAAAAATAACCCTCCAAATCACAGAAAACATCAGTATTTTTAAAAGTTATTTTGTTACGAGCAACGTAAAGCTTGTTTTCAAGTGCGTGCTTATAATTTTGACTGTCCTTGATGTATTTCCATGCCGCTACAACATAACTTGGTTACTAAAAAAGTGAGAATTTTAAAAGAAGCAGAAAGGAAATTAGCAATTGTTAAGAACATCACCAACAGCAACAACCAAAGGAAAACAACGCGTCGAGGCGTTTTGATTTATGATTTTACAAATACGTAAAACACAACAGCTATTCAACTTTCTTTCAGGGAGAGTCAAATCTTTGAAAAAAAACACTCTTTTTAAAATATGTATTTGCAACAAAGAAAAGCTGAATACAATAGAACCTGTATAAAGCTGTACAGTTTAAAGCGGTTACCCTTAACTGAGTGCCAACGGCCTGTTTGTACTGTCCTCCACCTACATCGGACGCTCACTAAGAGCAGAACCACTAAAAGAAAAATGACAATTCTTTTATACCCCTATTCTGTGCAACCTGTAATAGCTCTTCAACCCCTACGAGTGACTTGCATCAAATTTCTCCTTGTCATATCACCCCTGAATGAAACATTAAGGTCAGGAGATTCAAGGAACTGATCACCAACCATAGGGGCTCTTGATTGTTAGACAAATTCTCCCTGTTCGCACATTAGGAAATGTTTAGAGAACAGTATGGAGAATATGCATACTGATGTCAGGGTGTAAAGGGTTAAGTGATCATGTTGTAGTAAAAGTAACTTGAAGTCACGAAAGTCTTTAAAAAACGCAACGAGAAAAATGGGTAAATACAAAGACTTAAGAAATAAAACGAGAGGAATACTATAGTTAAGTGAATTTAAGACCTCTCGACTTGAAGTCCACGCGGTTTGGTAATATGATACTGATGGTGCATTCAAAAGACATGAATTAAAACTTGGCGCTTGTTGTTTTCAGTATCTTTCAGTCATGGCGGTTGGGGTAGAGGTGCTCAAAGGCATAAAATTCTTACGCAAAAATGTAAAAACCCTGTTGAACCTTGGACTCTCTGGAAGCGTTGTGGCAATAAACGCAAAAGTCAAATCGGAATTTTTCGACTGCCCTGTGGAAAATCATCAACAGTACGGGTACCTGTACCTTATTGCACCTTGTGTCATACTGTATTTTGTTAATCTATTAGTCGTGGCGAAAAAGCTAACTCCGCATGGCTTCCTGCAAACTGTAAAAGAAAAGCTGCAAAAGGAAACGAAATTCGCCGTATTCCGCAATGTGATCTTACCCAGCGTTTCGAGGGCGTTCGCAGCACCTCTGGCATGGCTGATAGTGTCATTTGCCCAAGGGGACTACTATATCTGCGCTACAGTCGGGCCTGGTTCTGAGAAGCGATATAATTTGAATGAAGATGAAAAACAAGATTTGGCCGTAAGGATCGCCGCAAGCAAAAGCACATCACAGATCGTCGCGTGGTTTCTGCTCGGCGTGGCGGTTTTGTGGACCTTCAAAGTAAAAGCTCTGAAGACCAAGGATGAAGGTGAATTGACTCAAATGAAGAGTTTCCTTCTTTTGTCTTAACTTCTTATTATGATTACGTAACTAATCTAAATCACCTCTTAAAACCTCTCAAAAAAATTGTTTCTGTTCAGCCTCTCTCTCAGATCTCGTGTAAATAGCTGGCCCCAAGTTTTCTCATCCTTGTATTTTCTCTCCTTTGCCAGATGAAGACGTGGACATCAAAGAGGACGTAGAAGATCAAGAACCATTATTAAGAGATGGTAAATAATTTCAAGGTGGCGTTAATTTTTACGAGACCTCGAAGAAGAGACTAAGATGTCAGTTATAGTTAGAACCAGCAAACATTACCAAAGCAATACTTGAAAAACAGTTTTTTACTAAGCAAGGTGATAGGGTAACAATTCACTTTCATACGCAGAAATCCAAACAACTACTAACAGTAACAAAAGTACTTCACTATTTCTTTTTGGCCGTTTTACCACCTGCACCTCCAAAGAAACTTGATATCGACTTCATGCCTTTTTTGTCCACCTTGGATAGTGACTTTTGAGCTGCTGTTAACTTCGTGGCAGTCTGCAGTTAACAATAAGAGTAACAATAACAGTAATAATAATAATAATATTGATGATGATAATCACAGTCATAACGATGATGATGATGATGATGATAAAAATAATAAAAAACTTATCAATAAAATTTCAAAAATCTCCAGAATTTTGACTGGTCTTTACTATACCAGTGCGCCATATTGGCAACATTACATACGTGATTTTCATTAATATCACATGGGAAGTAGAAATCTCCACAAAAATAGCAAGATTCCATGATCCATAATTTCATGTGACCAGCTAAAGCAATTCCCTTAATTTTTGTTGGATGAGAAGTGAAAAGGATTTTGGATTTGACATCTCAATTGCCCCTCAAGGTTGAAAACGTGTTCCTCCACCAAAAAAAGGAAAGAAGATTGGCTGTTTAATTAGCCAGTCATAACTCAGGATATGCTCCATTTTAACTTACAGCTTGCCATACAATGAATTGAGCAAATTCTATTTTCAGCTGGCATGCCTATGATCCAGTTTCTTTTATGCAGTTTCCACTGTTTCAAAAGAACATCTGCATAATGCTCATACCTTACCTTATCATTTTCGGTTTTAGAATTCAGCTTGCTGAATTCTTTGGAATAATCCTCTGTAGCTTCAGGAATCTCATCAGTTACTTTGGCTCTCTGGAAAGGGCAAATGATTAAATATGAAGATTGACTGTGAACTAACAATTATCAAAGAAAAAGGCATCTGCCTTCTGTGTTGCACCCTCTTGAAGCAAACAGTTTGCATTCTAATCAAAACATTCACTTCCATCTCATTGAGGGTAATACTCTGAGAACAAAGGGGAGTAAGTTTCCAGAGAAACTGTGATGCTGCGTCTGTGGGAGGGTATAACAGGGTAATTTAGTATTATCAACTGAGTTGATAATGCAAATTGGCCACCATAAAGAGTTTCAAAGCTTTGAAATGCAGCTTTGAAACTCTTTTACGGTGGCCAATTTACGTTATCAACTCAGTTGATAACACTTTATTACCCTGTTATACTCTGAAAAAACTTTTCCTCATGGATATATTCATTTAAGTTGGACACGCGGTAGCCTGATGGTTAGCGCACTGTTCCCTGGGTGGAGATGTCTTGGATCGAGACCTAGGCACTTCACTGCGTTGTATTCTTGGGCAAAACACTGGACTTTCACAATGCCTCTATCCACCCAAGAGGATAGATGGGTAACTGCGAATTGTCAGGGAAGCCTGATAAAATGCTAGGGGGTAACCATGCAATGGACAAACGTTCCATCCAAGGAAGAGAAACGATACTCCTCGTTGCTTCATGCTAAGGACACAAGGATAAGCTCTGGCTGGGTGGACCACATGACTGCAGAGTTTTTGACATATCAAAGCTTCAGACATTCAGACTAACATTACAAGTACATTGAACAAGACCTCTAGTTTCAGATGACAGACATTTTGACATATCAAGGGGGAGGGGAAGGGGAATTCAACTGACACTAATAGCTTATTTTGGCACTAAGTTTGCAGAGAGGAGCAGCAATATAAAAACAAAAAAAAGAGGAGCTAGGGAAGGGAAAAAACAAAGGGATTCTAAACCCAGGGGTTTCAATAACTTTTTCCATAAGCATCTGTTAATGACACAATACGTGGCTGCCTAAGGTGAAACCCAAACAAAAGCGCCTGTGAGAGGTCAGCAGTAGACTACAAGTCACTGACTTTTAGTGACACCCTTGCTAACCCCCTACCACAGCACACTTGTTTGGCTCATCATCACGGACCAAGAGGTATGGAGCTTGTTGACTGAGATGTTACTGATGAAACACTTCAGTCTATTAAGTGGTAAAATTATGACAAAATACTGTCATGTAGGTGTAAATCACCAACTCTTACCTTTGTGGGAGGCCCTTCTGGAGATGATAATTGTGCTTCATCTGTGATGCTGAAATAAAGTAGACCAACATCAGTTTAATTTTTACCTTCAGAAATCGTAAGTGGCAGCTCAAGTTATCCCTCGCACTCACACTATGTTTTTATGTTTTTTTGGCTTGATTCCACAATCCTTTGGAAGAAACAGGTTTTTGGTGTTTCTCAAAGATGCAAGAGCTTTTGTTGTTTAATTCTTGTTGTGGATTCTGAGCACTATTCTTGGTCTTTTCTAATCCTTAAAATTACGCTGGTACATTTTTTTTCCCAATGTAGGCGATGTGTTGATACTTTAAAGGGGTGTTTATATCAAAATTCGTCCTATCTATGAGCATACATAGGCATAATGTACAAAAGCCGAGAGAGAATTTCCTAGAGGCCCCTGTGAGAAAACAAAAGCTACCAAAATGGTGGGGGAAGAAAAAATGGGATAACCTGCAATGGACTGGATCTTATCCAGGAAAAGAAACTATTCTCCTAGATGCTTAATGCTATGGAAACTGGGATAAGCTCTGCTGTATGCCCCTCTTGGCTTAAGGACAATTTTTACTCCCATTTTCCTTATGGTGCTTTTCTCATGGTTTAATTTTCAGGGACCATAAAAAGAAAAAGAAATGAAAGTATACATCAAATGAAGAATACTTTTTTAAACCAGTTCCACATCTGATTCTAACAATACTAAATTTAAAAGACAACATTTGAATTTTCATTTATTATTAATAGTACTTTATAGATACCACATAATGTAACTTTTACCCCAATGATTCCTTGAGTCTTTCACTCCACTGCAAGGATAGATATTCAGATACCAACCCAAATGCATAACTCACATAGTCAGCTGAAAGTGATGACAACAAAGTTATTACTGAATAAATCTTAATGTACATTTGTAGATGGATATAGATGCAAGGTTACCTCTTCCATGCAAAAATTAAAGAAGAGTAACCCTTTGATCCCTTAGAGTGTCTAGCATCTGAAATTTCTTCTCACAATAGCACCACCCCAATCACAACTAGTTGCACTCTGAAGCAATGAGAAAGGGAAGTAGGCATTGATGGGGAGGAGAGAAAACATTTGAAGAGGGGTAACCACTAATTAAATGTGAGGGAGGGGTGAGGAGACTCTGCTGTCCTAGCTAGAATTTCAATTATCTTTCTTACATCTTGAAGCATCCATGTGCCGTCTACTCCTTATGAATGTTGCACTTTGAGAACCTTTGGAAACATGGATACTACTCTGAGAGATACCATTTGCAGTCTGTTCAACCTATACCAAAAATAATATGGTCTTACTAAACTTGATCATGATGGTCATAATAATCATTGGATCTACTTTAAATAAACAGAAAGAGAATGTAGAGGGGTTTAGCTATTTTATTAGAGGGCACATAATTCTCAGAGCAGTGAGGCTGACCAACAGATGCTTTTTTAAACTGGAAAAGTGACTAAAAGTTCTCTCCTTACCAAGTAAGGTTAAAGTGTCCTTCTTCAATTCATGTAATTTAAAGAGTTTAAATTAGCCCTGCAAAATTTACAGTTGGTTTTTTCTCTCACTAAAAAAAACACAAAGAGTGTCACATTAGACATCATAGACTTGAGAGAGAGAAAATATAAACACCTTTGTTTTCAACCAGGCTATAGTCTTCTCTTTATCGAGTCTGAACACTTGCAGATCGTCATCACCCTTAACATCACATATATTAAGTATCTCATCAGATCTAAGACAACCAGTCAGTCTGCAGATTGATGGGTGCTCATCATCCAAAAGTAGCTGATCAAGGGTTCTAAACTAAGATCAGAACAATAATAATGGTGACTTATGTCTAACAACAAATACAAGTGTTAATAAAAGTATGTTTACAAGGGTTTTGGTATTAATAGAATCCAGATACTGGTAACAGAAGTCTATCACCACCAAAAAAGACCTCTTAGCACTGTCTGCTGAGGTTTTATGTAATATGAGATTTCTATGGACCCTTTTGTAGTAGAGGCTGCCTATTTCAACATCACCAGCCAGGTAAACGCTGGGACATAAGTTATTGAAGCCTCTAGATCATACTCAGTTTTTGACATTCCAAGAATATTTCCATTCACACAATATAAAGAGAAACAGGACAACCAAACAATTCAGGTACTCTACCAAGTCAAATAGAAAGTAGTTTAGATAATTTGGTTTTATCAACTGAGTTGATAATGTAAATTGGCCACCCATCTTAAAGAGTTTCGAAGCTGATGTTTCAGAGCAATTGAATGATTATGGTAAATGATTTCATGATAGGATTAATTCTACTCTGACAAGCCCTTATTTAGTTCATCTACTTCTGCATGTAGCTTAATAACATTTGTAAATAGTGTGTCTAAATAAAGGTTGTTGTTGTTGATAATTAATGCCCATACTCTCCCCTACCTTTTGAGAATATTTTGTGAGATATGGTAAGACAAGGAAAAGTGGGTCCACTGGAGTGATGACAAAGAGGCTTCCATCTAAAAAAAAAAAAACAGACATCAATTAAAGACTAAACACAACAAGTGGGTAAGCAAGTGCCTAGTTTCAATGAAAAAAAAGAACTTTTCATGGGCATGAGAAGCATGTTGAAATCCATGATAAGTGTCAAAGAGGATAAGAAAGTGGTAATTGCATCTTTGGTACTTAATTACCAGTTATATGCATATGTTTTGTTCTACTTCATAATCAGAGAGGTTTGGTTGCTACAGAGTTTAACATGCTTGTTTATCAATACCTTTTTGTACAGAGTCCTCTATAAACCATGATCTGGGTTCTTCGGTAAATTTCAAGACCTCAAAGATCTTTTCCCCACTGTGAGAGAGCAAAAACTGTTGTTCCATACCTGAAAGTGAGCAGAGTACTGAAAGTGTCTAAGCTTCAACAACAAACCTAAGCTTCAATGCAAGTCTTGCAAAATTGCTTTTTATAAAATTTTAAACTAGGTAAGGAAACAATTCCAGGAGTCAAAAACCATGGTTCTGTCAAATCAAGTTTTAAAGATATTGGTTCTCTAATGGAACACAGTTCAAACTATGTACATGCACTATTACAGTAAACACAGCTTGACCAGAATGCAAGTTTAGTGCATGGGATCCACAAGTGTCACAGACCTATCAATAACAAGTTACAATTTCACACTATAATTTGGGCAGATCTGAGACTAAAAGAAAGTGTACCAAAACAGCCTCCAGAGGCAGGGATCTCTAAGTGAAATGGAATAGGAAATGATGTTTCCCAAGAAAAGCTGAGATGAAAGAAATATATTGTAGCAGTATGTGGAAAAAGTCACAACAAGTGCTATGTCTAAATGTAAGGGTGGAGACAGCTCTATCATACAAATATACAAGAAAACCCCAATTATGACTGCATTTTACATAAAAAGGGTTTTGATTCTAAGGGAACCGTGGTGTTGCCTCGGTGGGGGTACTATTAGTTGATTTGCTTTTATTAACTGCGTTGACAGTGTAAATTTGCCGCTGTCGTTCCAAGTGTTTGACCTGGTGATCAAATTGACGGGGCGATTCTCAGCACGATCAATGAAGGTATTATTATATTACCTGTGCGAGGATGCGGAATCTTTATGAACACAGGTTCTAATTCATCGCGTTCTTGACCACAAACGGCATCTTCTACAAATGCGAACATGTACATATAAAAGGAATGCATCGATGGATGAATCAACACAAATCTTCTTTCGAGCATCAATCCAATGGGGAAATGTACAAGACAGACATGCAAGATGTTCTTGTTTTGTAGGGCATCTCGACTTATAGGGCCATGGTTTTCGACAGTTGTCATTTTTTTTAGGGTATAATTACAAACCTGGGGCAATGAATACCCACTGATTTACTTCTCTGGATTTGTTGTTGTCATTTTGAATGTTTCTTGGCATTGTTTCGAAAATAGTGTCGGTTCGCTCTCGTACAATTTTTATCTCCCCAAATTTACTACTAGTGTTTACGCGCGAAATTGTGTACCGCTGGCACACTCACGGCTCAGCTGCAAAGTTGACAAGTGACCATACCGCTGACCTGGAGCCGAGCTCTCTCTGAGCCCGAGATCGCCCTCTTAGACTTGTCCTCTGTTGACAGCGACTGACCCCCCTTCCGTTCCCTATGAAACCATGCGACCCCCCCCCCCCCCAGTACACCACAGTTTGTCGTGTCTAGCAGTTATTTTAAAAACATGCTGTGATTGGTCAGATAGTTAAAGTACGGGACCCCTGTTAAAATTAAAAATTGTTGTTGTTGCCAAAATCTCTCGTTAGTTTCATCAATGTGTTCTTATCTTTCATGAGCAAATAGAAATTACATTTTTTTCTTTTTCCTTTAATCGTATTGAGGAATACTTTTGCTTTCGACGTGTATCAGACATATAGGGCTATTCCGCGTAAAGACTGAAAGAACTGGTTCTCCGAGGCGCAAATTGGGGTGGAAAATCCTCTCATTCTGAGTAAGTACAAGCAAGTTGGAATTCTTTACCGGTTCAAGGCCAGAAGAATTAAAATTAACTCTGCAAAAGTGTCCGAAAAAAGTGTAAAGGGTTTAAGTCCGAGAATAACAGTCGATCGTGTAGGGTGATTGACAAGCAGAGAGTGGTTCAGGAAAGGACTGTTGACTCTCATGACGACTTCCACTGAGGTTCTCAAGTTTCTATAACCGACAACAATCCCCTCTGGAACTACCCTCGGCCTGGATTATCAGATCAAAAGATATCCTTGTACTTAGCTCAACCCTCACGGATCTCGCGAGCAGTCCACACAAAAACGTGAACACAGTTGGCCCTACTCACAAGAGAGCACTGATTCAGGCCACAAGCGAGTTTCCGTTTATGAGCGAGACGGTCGGACTTGTCTCCGTAAAGTCGTTGTGCTTGTTACTCTTTATCGCACAAATGCAATCAGAATGCAAAAACAAGTCATAACTGTAATATTGGCATACTTTATTTCACAAACGGACAATAATCTAGTTCTTAAGTAAGAGTATTTTCTGTTAGTATAATGTAGTACCTGGGCTATCTTTCATAGTTAAAAACTGGCCACTTTCCTAATTGACGCCCAGACCAGCAAATGTGGTCTAAGCAACCTAGCTCAAGAATCTTAAGAATTCCCTGTGGCAAGCACCGCCCCCACCCTGGAGGGGATTAACTTCGTCACAGAAGAGTCCATGGCAGAATGTTCGTGTTTGTACAAGGCCACGCTCATGGAATAAAGTTCGTTGTCGACTGGGGCGGATGATGGCACTTGGAAAAGACCGACCTAGGAAAGAAATAAACAACACAAGATATAAAATGAGCCTTGAGATGGAGCATAGAGGAGTGCTCAAAGCTTATTTTTTTCTTCTTCTTTTTACGTCTCCTGTCTTAAACAACTGGGGTAATTAGCGTTACATTGTGTTAATTTAGAAACTATGAAGGTGCAGGTCTTAACCAACCTTGCCAGTCAGCCTCCTCAGTCGCTTTCTCATGGCCAGATCCATGCGGGCGCACAGTGCACGTCTGCAAGGTCCAACGTCCGTGAACAACGTCCCTCTTTCGCGCCTTTTGGCAGCCGCACCTGCCACCAGCGCACCAATACTGTTTATGACTCTTGAATCACCCCCATCGTCGACATCACTCGTGTCACCTGTCTCCGTCACTGAAGGTTTATCTTTTGCCACCTCAGCGTACGCTTTTTGCACCAATTTGGTTAACCGCGGACCAGCAAGCGACGAAGAGATTCCAATGCGTGAGAACACGTGACCTGGTGTAAAGCGCTTTAAGTGAGCTCCGGGTTCTTCTCCTAAAATGAAAGAAAGGAATCCATAGGAAATTTTCTCAGGTCAGCAAGCCAAGTGATCAACACCGTTGGTGTATGTCTCGGTTGCTTTAGCAAAAAGAGATCAAGAGTAAAGATAATCCTTAACCCTTTCACCCACAAGATCTCATTAGTAATACTCCTCACTATCTGCTATACAATTCTTATGATGTTAGTTTGGAGAATATGGTATTGCATCAACTAATACTCCCCAAATTGATATTTTTCTTTATTCTCATCGCTTGTCTGCTTGATGTTATATTAATATTGTGAGGAAAATTTTGTCTTGGTCACCCATGGGAGTTAAAGGGTTACAGAAATGCTAAATACAGTAAATCGCAGGTTTTTCACACAGTTCGCCGGAAACCATCTATACTTCTATGTGGAAAGAGACATTGTGACAGTTAAGTGCCTTGTCTAATAACATAACGTAATAACCACTGGCGGCCTGGGCTCAAAACGGGACCTTTCCGGCATCCACATTCTTACCCACCAGCCATAAAGGCCACCGCTTTTTCTACCATGTAGCAGGTGCATCGCCGTAAAATTACGATAACATCAGATAAGCTAATATTAGTCCAAAACGTTTTGTGTTTTTGCAAGGTAAAAGAACATACCTGTTTTGTCTGAGGTGTTTTGCGCAGAGACCAACGCGCTCCAATCAACGTCTTCAACCGCCATAGGAGCACTAGATGGACCTTTACTATCAGAAACCCCAGCTCTGGCATCCTCATCGTCGTCCCCTAACATGGCGTCAAGTTCATCGTCGCTTATTGGGTCGTAAACATCGTCGAATGTTGGCGCCTCATTCCGAACTGGTGACATTGTAGCTGCGCGTTCCTTATCGTCGATTTTCGGTTTGCTCTCAGAAATCTCCGTTTCGTTAACATCTGACCACGCGTCGTCTCCGATAGGACTATCGTCGCTCCAATCACTGAACACTGTCACGGATTCCTCATCTTTGGGAGCATCTCCAGTTTCCTTCCTTCCATCTGCAACTGTGTCAGACGATTTATTCTCGTCGATGTTCCCAACCTGTCCAAACTGACTATCCTTTACACTACCCTGGCGCTCGTTACCTTCAGACTTGTATTGAACCATTTCTTCATCCTCGTCTTCAAGGTCAGCCCAAGGTTGAACGACAACCTCGGGCTGATTTTTCTTCTTTTTCTTTTTCTTTGGTGGTTTATCACCACCCTTCATCTTCGTTTCCTCCCCATCAGGAGCAACTGGATGCCGGCGTTTTTTAGCCACCTTTGGAATCAGTTCCTCTTCGGACTGTTGTGTTACTTCTCCAAGATTTTCCGACGACGCTACCCCACTTTCTTCCGTCACGCTCGTTGGTTCTTCGGTTTTTTCTGGGCCCAGTCCGGGCTCTGATGCCACCACACCGATGTTCTTCTTCTTCTTTTTCGTCACCTTCTCTTTTGTCTTTCCTTTTTCTTTCTTCAGCTTTTTCTCAACCTTGAAAGGCTTCTCACCTTCCGGCGATTCCTCTGACTCTGCAGGCGGCTCTGGTGGTTTTCGAGTTTCAACATCAGGTTCACCGTCAGGTTTTGGACCTTTCCCTTTTTTCCCCACCTTCTTTTTCTTAGGTTTTGCGGTTTGCTTGACGGGAGCTGCGGCAATGACGTCCTTCTCATAATCATCCTGTTTTACGACTCCTTCGGGCACCTCCCCTCCTGGCGTTACTTCCATCTCAGGGGTTTCACTTCGACGCTTTTTCCCTCCCGCAGGCGACTCGATGGTTGATATGGACGAGCCTGTTTCTCTAGGTCTTTTTCTGTATATCGTAAGCAAACATAATGAAAGCGATTATTCAGTGAAGATGGCTCTCCACTCCTTTCGAACATTAAACCGAAAAAAGTAAAGAAGAACGTGGTAGGTGGGGTGCTTAATTCCATTTCGATCAACGATACAGAAACTGAAGAGAAAAGCGCGACGGATCTTTATAGCAGAAAAGAGAGATTGGAATTTGAACGAAACTGCTCGTCGTGAAAACATTTTAATCATAACAACTTCCCCTATTCCCGCCCCTCCCCCCCATAAAATATTGGTGCGTCCCTTGGATTTAAGATGTCAACCCCCATGTGGTTAATGCGCGCGAAACAAGTCTATATTCGTTGTGGATGAAGAAGAAATTAAGTACCACCTCCTACCTTTCTCCTTGTCGTGGTATCTTATCTTTTTCGTCTCCTAAATCTTCTTCGTATTCCCATTCTTCATCTTCTTCTTCGTCCGAACGACGCCTGGGCTCTTCCTCCGCTTCACGCGGTATCTTCTCTTGCTCATGCGTACGGCGGTCGCGCGATGGGCTAACGACTCGTCCCGGGCTCCCTAAGGAATAAAGAGGGCGATTCGCTTGGATGAAAACATAGGTGAGTTAAAGACTACCACGATGGCGACGGCAACGAGAATGTAGCAAACAAGAGATCTAATGAGCACACCATAGCGCTGCCCGTGCGTTTCAAACTTCGATCATTTCTTAGCCGTCCCATGTGAGGCATGAAATCACCTTTGCGTCCTCTAAGCAAGGAAACCTGGACAGCAGTTTATTCATGCTTTTACCTTGAATTCAACACAACTTTCCCATGTCATGCCGAAGGGAATATGTTGTATTGTTGAAAACGGTAAACGCATCGAGATAGTGGCGAAACTCTTGGTGGAAAAGGATCTTTGTTTTCGGCAACGTTTTCCCACACATCGCCCTAGTGACATCTTAAACTCCCTACTTAACCACTTCACAACCTGTCAGAGATTACCGCTTGGGATTGATCGACCAAATGCTCATCTGTCAGGATGTTCCCCTCTTAAATAAGTGACGTGTAAGGGAAGCATATTCATAGAGGAACTCCAACAGGCGAATATTATCACACTAAATAAACTTGCAGACGCCCTTACGCAAAATAACCTTAGATCAAATCCATGCGACTTTACCAGAAAATAAATTATCTTCCCAATCAAACGGGAATCAAATCAAGGTGAAATCGCGGGAATCCCAATTTTTGTCTCGATCATGCTTACATGGAGTTGCGCTTTCCAAATCTTAATCGTTGTAATTGTTATTGTTGTCATTATTATTGTTATTATTGTTGTTATTACTATTATTATTAAAATCTACAATCTTGATCACAAGGGATTGGAAAAGTTTGCT